GCTTAGGTTACGTGGTCAGACCTAGAGTCTAGGGTCCAAACCTTCTTATTAAATCGGTCCGACTGTCCCATCATGGGACTTGAGTTTCATTGATCAGGTATAGGGGGTTCTCGCCCCGTCCTGCATCAGAAGGGTTGCCGCGAAGACTAGTTACCATCGAGGACAAGGGCACCGAATTGAGGAACTCCACCAGGAGGAGAAGGGCGCGGCTAGGAAGGGCGGCACATCGAAGAGGGAGGCAACAGTTGGAGAGAGCCTTGAGCTCTGATACCATGTTGACAATGAAAGAGGAAACCCTAGAATACATCATCGAGAATAGAGGACTATGCGTGTATGTATAAAAGAGGAGAAGAGGAGACAGAGATAATGAACCCTAATGGGCCCTAATGGGCTAAGAGTCTAATGACACTATCAAACATACATATTACTAGCCTAACTAATGGTCTTCCAAGAGTTAATTTCTACCTCAATTTTATATTAAAATATTTAAAAAATAATATAGCAATCATTTAAAATATTAAGTACATGGAGTGTTGATCTATTATTTATGACAATAGAACTGTATTAAGATGTCATTTTTAAGAAAGTGGTCACATATTTATATTTATTGTAGAATATGTTTCTTTAAAAATAATTTCCTCACCAGGACTTTACTAGACAATTTACACATGTTCTAATTATACTTCAATGACAACTAATTCACTTCAATTCCACTTCAATTATGCTGATCAAACATGACTTTCACGATGCCTCAAAACTCATTTTGTCGTTATCAAAATTAGGTAATAATTGAGGAATATCAACACTCTTAATATGCTCTTATAAAATACTTGTTATATCATAATAAGAAGTTTTTGACAACATTTAATGATTTTCCTTCCTCTTCATTTTCTATTCCACTTGTTTTGTTTTCCTATCATTTATGAGATTTCTCTACTCTAAACTCTACCCCTAATGAATAGGCCCATATTCCATAATTCATCTATTATCAGTTTTATTATAGATTCATTTGATATAAATTTTTCTTTTAGAAACGTGCATCTTCCATCTAAAGAAAGTCTTTGTCCTAAAACATTCTTATTAGAAATGTTCATGTGGCACATGAAGAGATTTCAACATCATAAGGGCTTTGACCTTGGCTTCTATATCAATAGTTGGGATATAATCATATTCAAAAAAATTCAATTCTCCAAGGTATTTGACTCTTCTTTCATCCGAAAAGTTTAGAGTAAATGTTTTAAAAATAACTTGGTTGTTAGAGATTGTCTAGTTTCGTTCACCACCTTGGCATTGAGTTTTCATAAGACTCCTCACATATCTTCCATGCAAACCTAAATGCTGTGATATTTTGCACATACCCTACTAAATTAATAGATCTTTCATTTTCCATTTCCTCACTCCAAAGTACTCATTTTCATAAATGTTTTCATCTTTTGAAGTGATTACCTTTCATGTTGAATTTGAATATTACAAAATTGAACTAAGTACTTTGAAATCAATTGTTAGAATAATTCTAATCACTAAGATCATCCATCTCCACACAATATGCACTTATAGCCACAACTCAACAACATACCATTATACAATAAATTTACCTGCCAAATCTCAAAATATGAGAAACAAAATGATAGGAGGAAGCAATCCCTGTCACGCTAGCATCTTTAACTTTGATTACACTCAAAGTCTACACACACCCTACATGCACATATCACAACTCTGGATTTCTGCATTTTCCCTTCTGCTCAATCAAACATTGCCCAAAGATAACAAAGCTCCCCATTGATAGGAAGGTTGAAGTTCGACTTATGAATACCCGCTGGTTTGAATGGCATCTATCCTCTCATTGACTTTATGAGTGAAGTTGGATCCTTCACAACCTTCCGAATCACTCTATTGAAAGGAGAGGTCGTGCACACATGAGTAAGGAAAGAGGGGAAGGAAGGGGGGAAAAAGGAAGGGAGGAAGAGACTAGAGTGGACTAACTCGGAACAAGAAACAATACATAACCAAGACTACCTTGGTCTTGGGGTTGCTAATACGAGATGACAAATCTCCAGCTCTAAAAGGAGTTTCTTTCAACTGTTCTCTCCTCTCCTAAGAGCTAACCCCTCTAATTTATAACCTTTGTGGTTCATTGACGCCCTTCTTCCTTGATGGGAATTAACATATGACATGATCTGTTGATGTCAGATCATGCCATTTGTGTAATTTTGCTGCTGGATCCTTCTACCGCCCTCACCTCTTACCCAACAAGATCAGTTATATTGTTGCCCCTAATGATGTCAGTTTCCCATGTCTTGTTGCCTTGCACTCCACTCTAGCTGCTAGATTGTAGTACTAGAATAGGCCGACTCCTTTAAGATCTTGTTCCTATTGGCCTAGTTCTAACTATCAGGACATCTTTAACTTCAATTACACCCCAAGTTTACACGTGCTCTACATGCACATATCACAACTCTAGACTATTAATAATTCCCTTTGCCCAACCCAACATTTCCCAAAGGTAACAAAGCTCTCTAATAAATAAAAAATTTAGCGTTCGACTAATGAATACCCACTAGTTCAAATGATGTCTATCCTCTTGTTGACTTCATGAGTGAAGTCAAATCTTTTATGACTTGACAAATCACTATATTGAAATGATATGTCATGCACTCGAGATGAAGGATAGAAGGGAAGGAAGGTAGGAAGAAGGAACAGAGGAAAAGACTAAAATGGACTAACTCAAAACGAGAAACAACACATAACCAAGACCACCTTAGTCTTGGGGTCACCAATACGAGATGATGAATCTCTAACTCTAAAAGGAGTTTCTTACAACTGTTATCCCCTCTCCCAAGGGCCATTCCCTCTAATTTATAGCCTTCATGGTTAATTGATGCCTCCTTCTTTGATGGGACTTGGCACATGACAAGATCTATTGATGTTAGATCATGTTGTTTGTGTAGGTTCACCGCTAGATCTTTTTGCTGCCCTCACCTGTTGCCCAACATGATCTGTTGCCCCCAATGATGTTGGGTTCCCGCAATTCGTTGCCTTGCGCTCCACTTTGACTATGAGGTTCTAGTACTATAGTAGGTCTATTCCTTTGAGACCTTGTTCTTATCGATCCAATTCTTACTATCATACTCTCAACAATAGTCTTCCCCCTCCCAAATAGAGTTTCTTACAATTGTTCTCCCCTCTCCTAAGAGTTGTCCCCTCTAATTATAGCCTTCGTGGTTCATTAATCTCGTCCTTCCTTGATGGGACTTAGCACATGACAAGATTTGTCGATGTCAAATCATGTCATTTTTGTAGGTTCACCACTGAATTCTTTTGCCATCCTCATCTCCTACTTAGTAGGATCTGCTATATTATTGTCCTCAATGATGTCAGGCTCCCACGTCTTGTCACCTTGGGCTCTACTCTTGCTATCAGGTTGTAATACTAGAATAAGTCAGTTCCTTTCAAACCTTGTTCTTATTGACGCAATTCTTACTATAAAGGCCTCAACAATACTCCCCCCTCCCCTCCAAAAAGAGTTTCTTACAAAAGTTTTCCTCTCTACCTAGAGCCGTCCCTATTAACTTATAGCCTTTGTGGTTCATTAATGCCCTCCTTTGTTTATGTAACTCGGAACATGACATGATCTGTACATGTCAGATCATGTTGTTTGTGCAGGTTTGTCGCCGGATCCTTTTGTCGCCCTCACCTCTTGCCCAACATCTTGCCACTTTTGCACTCTGCTTTGGCTACCAAGTTGTAGTACTATAGGAGATTGATTTTTTTGAGACTTTGTTCTTATTGGTCCAATTTTTACTATCATGGCCTCAACAATACTTCCCCCCCTCCTATAAAGAGTTTTTTACAATTGTTCTCCCCACTCTCAAGAGTCATCCCCCCTAACTTATAACCTTTGTGGTTTATTGACACCCTCTTTCCTTGATGGGACTCGGCACATGACAAGATCTATCGATGTCAGATCATATAATTTGTACATGTTCACTGCTGATCTTTTTGCCACCTTCACCTCCTGCTTAACAAGATCTACTATATTATTGCCCCCCAATGATGTTGGGTTTCCACATCTCATTATCTTGTGCTCCACTCTAATTGCCAAGTTGTGGTACTATAGTAGATTAGTTCCTTTGCAACCTTGTTCTTATTGGCCTAGTTCTTACTATTAGGGCCTCAATAATACTTCCCCCCTCCTCCCAAAAAGATTTTTTTATAATTGTTCCACCTTTTCCAAGAGTTGTCCCCTCTAGCCTATAGCCTTCATGGTTTATTTATGCCCTCCTTTCTTGATGGAACTCAATACATGACAAGATTTGTCGATGTCAAATCATACAATTTGTGCAAGTTTGCTGTTGGATCCTATTGTTGCCCCTAATGATGTCAGGTTCCACATCTTGTCGCCTTGTTCTCCACTCTAATTGTTAGGTTGTGGTACTAGAGTAGGTTAGTTCCTTTGCAACCTTATTCTTATTGGTCTAATTCTTACTATCGTGGCCTCAACAATACTTCCTCCCTCCTCCCAAAAAGAGTTTCTTACAATTGTTCTTGCTCTCCCAAGAGTCGTCTCATCTAACTTATAACATTTGTGGTTCATTGATGCCCTCCTTTCTTAATGAGACTCAGCACATAACAAGATATGTTGATGTCAGGTCATGTCATTTGTACAGGTTTGCCGTTGGATTCTTTTGCCACCCTCACCTCCTGCTTGGTAGGATCTACTATATTGTTGTCCTCAATGATGTCAGGTTTCCGCACCTTGTCGCCTTGTGCTCTACTCTAACTAATAAATTGTGGTACTAGAGTAGGCTAGTTCTTTTGTAACCTTGTTCTTATTGCCTGGTTCTTACTATCAAGGCCTCAACAATACTCCCCCCCCCCCTCCAATTATGCACCTAGTCCTCAAGGTGGAAGGTAGAAAATTGTCGGTAGATGTTGTGAGCTAGTTCCCACATGGTGGCATTGGTCGGCATTTCCTCTTACTAGATAAGCACTTCGGGGCCATGAGGATAGTAACAAATGTTTGCGACCCAATCCGGGACCACTGTCTAATGCAGGTCACCATCCATGACTAACTCGGACGTTGCTAGGGTCTTCTATCATTGCTCCACCCTTTTCAGCTATAACATGTGGTATACTTGATGAACTTGGGCTAAGGTGGGGAGGTCTAGATGATACGCCACTAACCCAATGTAATGAAGGACTTTGAACGAACGATAGAAGCAAAGAGCAAGCTTCACATAGGTCCATCATGTGATTCTAGTGTGGCAATAGAGTCGTTGGCGAAGGTAGATTCACTTGCCTACTTGGATACTTGATTTCCCTTCCTTTGTGGTTTGTAAATTGCTTCATTTGAGCTTGAGTTCATTCCAAATCTTGTTTGAGCAATGTGAGGATCTCATCAAGTCCCTACAGCTTGTGCTTCATATCTACCGACATCATGGGTTTGCTAATGAAATGGATCAAAGTTGACAAAGATCGTCCATAAACCTCTTGAAATAAGGTCACAATCATAGTATATCTCAGATGCTAGTCCACAATTGACCACCTTTGACTAGCCACATGCTAGTCTACTTAAGCGTTGTCTGTTGTTAATGAAAAAGGGCTTACTAAAAGGAGCTTATGAAGGTTCAATCTTGATCAATAAGGATGGATGTCAGAAATTTATACAACTAGATGATATGTCAGATGACGACTTTTACTACTGTCTAGATTGTAAATAGATGATGAAGCGCAAAAACATGGGCATACTTACTAAGTCAGTCAACAATGATCAAGATAGCATTCCAACTATGAGAGACTAGTAACCCTTCGATGAAGTCTATTGTCAAGCTTTCTCATATGCAGTTGAAAATTATAAATTAGTAGTTGTATCTATGCATTCATATCTTATATATAGATGCTAATTAATGAGTAAATAATACTATTATATATGTGTTACCAACTCATTATGACATTTATAATATTTTATCATTTAAGTCCTTGTGCATATTATTTTAATTATTTTATTTATATTATAAGACTAACCCCACTTTTATGAAGTCAAGTGGTGATTCTCTCACATTTTCTTGATAATTATTTAATTGCAAAGACTTAGGTGAGTTGTTAATATGAGTTGGAAGTAATAGAAAAAGCCCAAGCCTTCAACCCAATGAAAAGTTTAAATTTTATGAAGAGGGCCGGCCTAATATGTTTATGGGCTCAAAAGAGGGCATCACTTTGGCCTAATCCATTTGGACTTAAAAGGACTATCGAGAGATAAGATCTAAGCTCTCCATCTTAGGGCGCTTTAAGATGAGATTAAGAGAAGGATTAGAACGCCACCCTCATTGAATGATTTGGACCATCCACCAAGAGAGTCGATTATTAATCATAACCGTCCATTAGAGGGGCCTAACTTTCGAAAGGATTAAGGCATTTTGCCTCCCTCTTGAAAGGCACTTTTGGCTCTCTCTCTAGTAGTGGCTAGCCGAAAGAAACATGAGGGAAATCAAGACATGATCAATGGCATTCTTGTGCCCAAGAACATCGTGGAGAAGAGATTACTTGGAGCACATCAAGATCATCACAGATTGAACATCACTCAGCCTAGGACTAGCGCACAACAAGGTTTGTGTAAGATCTAGATTTGGGTGTTCTTATAATCTTTTCTATGGATAGATTAACTTTTAATTCAAACAAGTTTTATCATTTATTCCATCATTCTATTGCGTTAGATCCATTCTCTCCCATTTGTAACACTTTTCACAACTATTGTCTTTACTTTTTTACATTTAATTCTGCCTTTCACAATCTCACACACTTATATATATATATATATATATATATATATATATATAAGAAATAAAGTAAGTAGAATTTGTACTCTCATTACCCACGCTCTCTAAAAATCGACCCTTATCCTAAGTAGAAGAGTGAGATTTTATAAATATTATTTACATGAACTTGGTTGCATCATGACGATATATTTAACCTCCAATTCGAGTTCATCAAGCTGACGTCATTGATGGGGAACTAGGTGTCATTGAGAGAATTAAATTTTTCCTTTAGTTTTCTTTCATCTTCTCTTTATTTTTCTGTCATTTTTTCTTTCTTCAACGAACAGTTTTTTGAGCCATTGATTGAGAATTTTTCAAGAAAAATATCACTTTTCAATTATACAATTTCGTGAGATTTTTCTTTTCTATAGCCTCTCTTTTATTACAGAAATTCATCAAAGGAGGCTTTCAAAAGGTATATCTCTTACTTGAATCCTTTGATTATTTATGCACGGCACTAGATCTAAGAAATCAAATTTAGTGGACCTTGATTCAATAGGAAGATCTAACACTCTTGAGGATAGAAGAAGTTGTGAAGAGATGGACCCACCACAGAACTCAAGGAATAGAGATTTATCTCTAAACTATGATGATAGAAGAATGAAAATGAGAAAACATTATAATCCTATGGGGAGTAAATCAAGTGCTGAAATCTGCCCACTTTTGAGAGGAGTGAGCTTTAAGATAGAAAATATATTTATTAATTTCTTACCTAGTTTTCATGGTCTATTCAGTAAAGATCCTTATGCATACCTAGAGGAATTAATTGAAAAATATTCTTTGAATCAAATTTTAGGAGTCACTAGTGAAGTTATGAAGATGAAAGTTTTTTCTTCGACTTTAAAAAATAGAGCTAAGGAATGGTTTAATAATTTAAGAATGAGATTTGAAAGTTAGGAAGAAATAGAAACCTGCTTTCTTAAAAAAAAATATTTCCTAGGGAAGACTAATTCAAATAGGAGAACCATACAAACATTCACTCAAGGAGATGATATATTTGGTGAAGTTTGGAAAAGATTTAAAGATTTGACTAGGAAGTGTCCTCACCATGGGTATAGTAAATGGCAATTGATTCATTTTTTTTATAAAAGGTTACATAAAAATGCTAGAAATAAAATTGATATGGTATGTGGGGGATCACTTTTAGATAAATATGATGATGAGGTAGAAGAATTGATTGAACGATTGATTGAAAATGACAACCATCACATGGGGTTGAGTCAAAATGAGAGAAATGTAGGACCCAAGAGAGGAGGAATCTTGAATGTAAAAAAGTATGGAACCTGAAATTGAGAGCGATATGACCAATAGGCGTTTAGGAAATGTTGAGGCATCCTTAGGGAAGTTTACTGATATGATGCAAAATTTATTATCTAACCCTACTATTTTACATGTTCATAATACTCCATGCTCTCTATGTTTTAACAAAGGACATGTAGATAGTGAATGCATCGACACTAGTGAAGTGAATGTGATGAATCATGCACCACTTGAACTCATAGAATGGGCGAGGCAATACAAACTTTAACAAGGAATCTCCACCCTTCATTAATCCTCACGACTTATACAAATTTTACAAGCAGTTCAAAAGAACCAACATAAAACAAAAGAAGCAGTGCGAGGCATGGTGAGAGATGTGGAGCAGCTCACGACTGATGTGGAGAGGCTGAATCAAGTCAACTCTAATGTTAAAAATATGAAAGGTAAAGGGAAAGAAGTGGACTGTGGTACAGGTTGATTTCCAACTCAGCCCTCCATTAATCCACGTAATATTATTTCTATAAAATCTCATGTATCTTTTCCTTCAGAAAATCATGAATGCATTCATGCCATAACTAAATTAAGAAATAGGAAATATTTAGTTGACTATTATGACAAGAATGAAGAGGGAGAGCAAGAGAAAACGTTAAAGAAAGAAGAGAAAAAAGTAGAGCTGAAAGAAAGAGAACCAACCTTAGAAAAATATTAACCACCTTTTTTTTTTCAAAAGCTTTAAAAATTACCAAACCTCTCATCCAAAATAATAAACTCTTAGATACCTTTAAGGAGACCACAATAACCATTCCCTTAGAAGAAGCAATTAAACATATTCTTTCATTCTCAAATATGTTAAGGAACTTTGTACTCTCAATAGGAAACCCAAGAGAGTCAGATTGTCTAAAAATGTTAGTTATATCATATTAAACCAAATTCTAGAAAAAAAAAAAGATCCAAGTGTACCCTTGATTACTTGTGATATTGGAGGAACACATTTTTCTAGATCTTTATTAAATTCTGATGCTAGTGTCGATTTCATGCCAAAAGCCTTATATGATAAATTTAAATTTGGAGATCTAGAACCAGTCCTCTTAAAATTACAACTTGCAGATGGATCTATTAAGCAACCATATGGTATGCTGAAAGATGTGATGGTTAAGGTAGAACATTGCACATTTTCTGTTGATTTTATTGTGGCTGATATGAAAAGACCTGAAAATTGGAGTAGAGCACCAATAATTTCAGGGAGACCCTTTTTAGCCACTGCCAAAGCCATAATAGATTGGGAAAAAGGGATAGTAGTATTAAGGGTAGGAGAGGAGAAGGTCAAATTGAATATTTCGAGATTAATGAAATATCCTAGTGTTAGCCATGAAGAAGTTAGCATTTGTGATGTCTTTGATAAAGATGATGAGCTAGGAGAAAATTATTTTGAAATTTGTGGAGTAGAACAAAAAGAAGAACTATTAGAACCTCCAAAACCTTTTGCTGCCCCAAATTCAGACGTAAAACCTTTACCCTCTTCATTAAAATATGCATTTTTAGGCCCTAAAAATACCTTACCTATTATTATATCATCAAGCCTTACATCTAAACAAGAGGAAAAACTCATGCATGTATTGAAGGAAAATAGGACAGCAATAGGATGGTCACTTGATGATATAAAAGGAGTACCTCCTAATATGTGTGAGCATAGGATATTTATAAAAGAAGGCTCTAAGCCATGAAGAGAAAATCAAAGGTGCCTAAATCCTCATATGCTAGAAGTGTTAAAGAAAGAAATATTGAAATGGCTTAAAGCCGATATGATTTATGCAATCTCGAATAGCTCTTGGGTAAGTCCAGTCCACATGATACCAAAGAAGACCAGCATAATAGTGGAAAAAAATGATAAAGGGGAAGAAGTGCAAACTAGATTAGCCACCAGCTAGAGAGTATGTATAGAGTATAGGAAACTAAATCTAGTAACTAAAAAAGATCATTATCTCTTGACTTTTACTGATCAGATTTTAGAAAAATTAGCTGGCCAAAATTATTTCTATTTTCTTGATGGTTATTCAAGGTATAATAAAATTAATATTCATGTGGATGACCAAGAGAAGACCACTTTTACATGTCTAGTAGGAACATTTACTTTTAAATGAATGTCATTTGGTTTTTGTAATGCTCCTGCTACGTTTCAAAGATGTATGAATGTCATGTTTACCAAATTAGTGGGCGATGGATTAGAAATTTTCATGGATGATTTTTCAGATTTTGGTACATCATTTAATATGTGTTTATTTAATCTGACATAGGTGCTACAAATATGTATCCAAAATAATATTGTATTAAGTTGGGAAAAATCTCATTTCATGGTGTAGGAAGGAATAGTTAGGACATTGAGTCAGCAAGTATGGGCTGGAGGTAGATGACGTGACTTAGTCGTTGTATATTAAATCACGCAAATATAAAATTTATAAAACTATAAAATACGACTTTTTAGATATTTAGAAGTATTTCTGAACAAATATATCAATTATAATTCAATAAAACTTCCAAAAATAGCGATAATTTTTCAAGTCGATCACAGGGATGTAATATAATATCTGGTAATTATTCCAAATTTTTCTCAATGAATACGATTTTCTATGAATTTTATACTAGGAAATAAAAAGGAAATATATTTAAAATTCACGAAAAAGAAGGAAATAAGGGCGTGGACGTCAGGATGACGTCAGCACCCGGTGAACACGAATCGGGCAGAAACAGAGTTCTGCCCGGTGACTCTTGCGTAAGCGATTATAGACGATTTAATTAATCAAATTAAGATCTGTAAAAGCCAGAAGAATCGTAATAGAACAAAGTATATTTTGGTAAATTAAAATCACAAAAACTATCACTAAATGAAGCGTAAAGTAAGTTGAAAGCAGGAAAACAGAGTTCCGGCATCGCGACGGCGATGCGTCGACGATGCACCGGAATCCTGAGCGTTCGGGAGGATCGTCGTGCAGTGTCCACGGCCTCAAAGGCTCTCCTTGGGCAAAGACGACGTAAGCAATCTCTAGATCTTCTCGCGAAGTCTAGAAATTAATGAAATGGGTCGCCGAGTCGTCTCTGGCGGCTGTCACCCGGCGGAGCAGAATAATGGCGACTTTGCGGCTCTCTAGCGGCTGTCACCCGACGGAGAAGAGCTGGATGGAGGTGGGGCACGTGTCAGGGAGCTTCATCCTCAGGTCCGCGCAGCAAGAGGAGGCTCTTCATCGCATTTGGTACGCTCTCAGGAGGTGGCGACTCGTCTCCCAGCGGATCATCATCTTCTCGACGATGGCTTGTTCGTTGATCAATCGGAGATGATTTACTTGATGGATTCGCAATCCTTTTATCGCGAATCGTTCAGCAATTTTAGTAGCAATGCTCCGCAAATCGCGTTGACGAGATTTTCGCCGATGATCCAGCGATTCTCATTGCTTAATTGATGCAGGACGGGGCGAGAACCCCCTATACCTGATTAATGAAACTCGAGTCCCATGATGGAACAGTCGGACCGATTTAATAAGAAGGTTTGGACCCTAGACTCTAGGTCTGACCACGTAACCTAAGCACAGGCAGGCATACCAATATGCATGATCATCCCAAGACAACCCGGGGAAATACTCGACGATGGTGAGTGAGAGGCCCTCTCGGTCCACGTCCAGACAAACGGTAGAGCTATCGTCGTAAAGTAGCCTAGGGCTGCAGCTCACGAACTGTGACAAGTCTGGCGCAGCGTCGGAAGTCACGATCTGTTAACATATCTTATCCTGTCTACGTCCTCCTGAAGGCGGTAGAGACGAGCCGAGAAAACCCTTCGAAAGATAATTAAACTTAAGTAAGAAGGGGTACAGAGCTAACCTTCAGGGCTGCATAGCCCGGCGGGTCGTGACGGAGCGGAGATCCGACGAAGGCAGGGACGTCCGGTGAAGAGCGATGCTCAGCGTCGACGGTCAGTCCTGGTCGAGAGTCACGGAAGTCGTCGTCTTAGGGCGTGGCACAGTCGGCGTGGGCGTGGGCCTGCAGGTGGGCCAAAGGGCACGCTAGTGGGCGTGGGCCCGCTGGTGGGCCGAAGGGCACGCGGGCAGTGGCGCCAGGTGGCCGCGCGGGCCGCAAGAGCCGGCGCGCGGGGCGCACGTGGTGGCAGCGCTTCGGCGGGAAGGCCGAGCGTCTGCGGCGCTTTGGCAGGGATGCCGAGCGTCAGCGGCGCTTCGGCGGGAATGCCGAGCGTTAGCGGCGCTTCGGCGGGAATGCCGAGCGTCGGCGGTTGGGGCGGAAACCCAACCGTCACCGGAAGGATCGGCCTCTCTGGCGGCGCCGGGAAGCGGAGTAGAGAGGAGACGATCCGGCCGACGATACCAGGGAGGGTTGAGCTCTCCTGGTCTAAGCGTCGCCGGAAACGGCGCGACGGCGGCGGAGCGTCGGGAAAATCCGGCGGGGGCCTGTGAGGAGCTGGGACTGGTTCTGGCTCGTCAGCACGGCTGCGGGGTCTCTTCCGACGTCGGTGGCAGGTCGGCGTTCGTCGGCGAACGGCCAGCGACTGGGCGGAGCGGCGGAGGGCGGCTCCGGCGAATTTATGGTGGAGTTCCGGAGGAAGAGGCGGCAGTCGAACCGGGAGTCGAGAGACTCCGGCGGAGTGCTCGGCGACGGCTCGTGGGGGAGGCGAAGCGAGCCCTTTTCGTCACGGCGGCGTGGCGGGGTTCCAGCAGAGGCGGCGGCGGATGCAGCGGCAACCGCGACCGTTTCGTCCGGTGACAGCGGCGAGCTCCCGGGCGGCAATGAGATGGCCGGCGGCGGCAGTGGTCTCAGGCGGCAGCGGGACTTCTCGGGCAGCAGCGTCACGAGGAACGAAGTCCTCGAAGGGGGTATCGACGGCCTTCCTCTTCCTCCTTCCCTCCCTATTCTTGGTCACGAGGAAGATAACTCACAACGATAATTTCTCTCAAAAATACGGCGCTCCTTGAGGGGGGGTCCTACCTCCCCTTATATGGGGGCCCACAAGTGGGCTAAGGCGAGGTGGGCCCACTTGAGACCCTCAAGCCCATAAGCCACAAAGGCTACAAAAAGGGGCTTATTGGGCCTCTTAAAGAGAGACACAATAAGCTCCCCTAAAAGGAGAAAGAGGAGGGCCTTCTTATGGTGCTTAAGTGGGCCTCAAATAAAGACCCAAATAAGCCCCAAAAGAGGCCCAAAAAAAGAAAGACACATAGGTCCCCCCCCCTTAGGGTTTTAATTGGGCCTCAAAGAAAGACCCAATAAAACCCTAAAGTAAGAGAGACAAACAACAACACACACACATAGAATTGGGCCCGCTAACACACAAATGCGAGGCCCAACAAGTCAACATGAAAATACAAAGAAAGATATGGGTGAGCTCAAGCTCGTCGTCGTCACGGAGGTGGATTGTCGTTGTCCCAAAGGGCTAGGCCGTGTAGCGAAAGCTAGGCTCCTTCGTCTTCGCGCGTCAATCGGGCTGAACTCGGACTGCCGGTGTCTCCTAAGCTGATGGAGACGGGTCCCGCTCGCCATCACCTTCTCTGTGCCGCCTCTACTTCCACCCCTTTCCAGGATGCCACACCACTGCTGGCCGCTCCTCCAAGCTGCCACGCCACTACTGTCATGGCCTCCTCTGGTCGCTCCAGGCCACTATGCCAAGCATGCCCTAGGTGCTGCCCCCTCCGCTTGATTGCCACTGCTGCCGAAGCATGTCCTAGGTGACGTACTCTACTATTGCAGCCTCTGCCACCACCATGGTCTCCGCCACTACTGCAGTCTCCCTCCAGCCATGCCTGAAGGTCTCCATCATTGGTTGTGTGCCCTCGGCCAGCATCCTCCCATGCCTTCCTAGCGTGCCCCTCTTGGCCGGTGCTCGGCTCCAAGCTGTGACCTCCCTATGTCATTCCGGTGCCGTCCGTGCTCCACCGGCACCTGCACATTCATGGCCTCCTTTGCGGCATCTTCGTTGTCCCCATCCCCACTTGCCTTAGAGCTCCTACTGGACGATGTTCTACCTCCTCTGGTTGCCCCCCAGCATGCCACTCTATTATGGTGCAACTCACTCGGCCCACTTATACATTCAACAATCATAATTACGCATCATGGGCACCTGGCTTTGAGCTCTTTTTGTAGTCTCATTACCTCCTTCATCATCTCCGGTCTCACTCATTCCTTCAAACGTCATTGCCCCAACTTTCAACATCAACTTGACGTCTGTAGAATACGATGCGTTTTGCTGCTATGTCAATCTCTATAGTCCTAGCAGTGCCTCTTCTTCTACCAGCCTTGCCTTACTTCTAGCTCCCTCTACGTCAAGTACACATTCTCTCATTACTTATTCTTCATTACCATGTATTATTGACTCGGGGGCTTCCACTCATATGACTAGCACTTCATCATTTTTATCTTCATATCAACCTACCCCTTCTCATCCTCATGTCACCATTGTCGATGGCTAAACTTGTTTGGTCAAAGGCCATGGCACTACCTTTGCCACCCCTAACCTTCTCTTCCAGCAAGTCCTTCACATTCTTGGCTTTCTTGCGAATCATCTTTTGATTAGTCATATTACTCGTGCCCTTAGTTGTACTTTTTTTCCTTTTCATTGTACTTACTAGGATCTGCACACCAGCTAGAGGATTGGTTTGGGCTGTGAGAATGGGTGAGATGTCTATGAGCTCATTTCAACTGAACCCTCTTTTGGACTTCAGGCCCTTTTTGTTGCCTCTACCACCACTTCTTTCCTTTTATGGCATTGGCGGTTAGGTTATCTTTATTTTGAGAAATTTCAAAAAATCTTATCATGGTTTTTTCTTAAGAAGTTTGTGTGCGAGTTATGTTAGTTGAGTAAACACCACTATTCTTCCTATCTCAGTCGAGATGGTATTCCCTCTTCTGCCTTTTTCGATCTCATCGATTGTGATGTATGAGGTTCTTTTCGTACTCTTTCTTTCTCAAGCCACTGATATTACATCGTTCTTATTAATAATTACACATGTGTGAGTTGGATATACCTTTTACACAACCGCTCTGAGGTCGTCACTATTGTTACCCACTTTATCATGGAGGTTGTCACTCAATATTTCACTATGTTCAAAATTCTTCTCACAAACAACGCCCTCAAATTTGTCCAAACCTCTCTTTGAACCTTCTACACTAATTGTGACATTATCAATCAGACCCCTTATCTTTATACCTTGTAGTAGAATGGTGTCATTAAGCGCAAATATTGTCAGCTTCTTAACATCACCTGCACTCTAATTCTTGAGATGAATGTCCCACACTATTTGTGGACTAATGCCCTCATGACGACCACTTACTTTCATAATTGACTTTCCTCCACTCCTCTAGGCAGAGACATTCTCCTTCAATGCATCCTATCTTCCTTGCCCATATTTTTCCTTCCTCCTCGGATCTTTGGATACACTACCTTCAACTAAGATCACTCTCTTTCCCTATCCAAACTCGTCCCTCATGCTCTCAAAGGGGTTTTTGTTGACTACTACTGAACGTAGAAAGGTTATCGGGTTTACTTTTCTAACATTTGTAGCTATGTTTCTTCTTCTCTACCTTCCCTCCTCCTTGAGCTGTTGCCTCTCCTCCACCTCGTTTTCCCTCATTGGTGGTCCTTGTAGATTCATCTCCTTCGACTCCCTCCTATCCGTCTTCTCCACCATCACCTCTTCCTCTTGGCTCCCTGTCTCTACCAGCCTCCTCTCTTTTGACTACAGATCTATCATCCCTTTCCTCCACTGAGCTGATTGTGCCTCCCACCAACGTCCCCAATGCTCCTCAAGATGATATTCATTGTCCCACCACCCCCTACACAAAGGTGTTCATACTTGTACTTAACACCCCATCTCTCACTTCATTTCCTATGCCTTTCTCCCTCCTTTCGTACCTTTGCCCCTATTGTGATCTCTGAGTTGATTCCCCACTTGCATGTTCAGGCAGCATAGGTACCTGAGTGGAAGGCAGCTATGGACTCTAAAGTGGACGCCTTGGTATTTTGAGGGACTTGGATACTAATTTTTCATCTAACAGACGTTAATATCATCACATGCAAATGAATGTTCACACTCAAATACCATCCAGATGACACTATTGCACATCACAAGGCTTGTTTGGTTACTCATGACTTCACTTAAGAGTATGGCATCAACTACACTGAGATGTTCTCTTCTGTCATTCGATTCGCTTTCATTTGAGTGTTCCTCTTTCTTGTCATAAATCAAGCATGGTTTCTCTACTAGTTGGATGTTTTTAATGTCTTTCTCTATGATGATCTCGAGGAGTAGGTTTTTATGAAACAATCATCAAGGTATGTTGCTCAAAGAAAGTCATCTAAGGTATGTTTCTTGTAGAAGGTGATTTACAAGCTCAAGTAGAGTCCACAAACTTAGTTTGTCAAGTCCAGTGGTCTTCTACCACATTTGGCTTCTCGTCGTATGCTGTGGATCCCACTATACTCATAAAGAAGATTGAGGGCAGCCTAGTCATTCTTGTAGTCTACATCGACGACATTTTTGTGATTGGGAGTGATGACACAAACATTCATTCTACCAAAGTTTATTTGTAGCAGCACCTTAGCATCCGTGACTTGAGGACTCTAAGGTATTTTCTTGAGATCGAGTTTGCGTACTAGGACAAAAAGCTCGTCATGACACAACAAAAGTATGCTCTTGACATGTTTTAGGAGACTGGACTCTTTGGGTGCAAGTTGAAGACTTTGCCCATAGGAGCCCATCCGTAGTTCTAGGACACTTCCTCTCTACTCCTTGAAGATGCTAATTAGTACAAGCAATTATTGGACAAACTAACATATCTCACCTTCACTCACCCCAATATCGTGTATATGATTAGTGTTTTGAGTTAGTTCATGTTGGAGCCATGACGAGCTCATTGAGAGGGAGCTCTATGGGTTCTAGTATACGTCAAACAAGCCCTAAAAAAAGGCTTATCTATTGGCGACATGGCTAACTCCGTGTCGAAGCCTATTATGATGCTGGGTATGTAGGTGACTGACGTGACTCAGTCGTTGTATATTAAATCACGCAAATATAAAATTTATAAAACTAGAAAATACGAATTTTCAGATATTTAGAAGTATTTTTGAATAAATATATCAATTATAATTCAATAAAACTTTCAAAAATAGCAGTAATTTTCCAAGTCGATCACAGGGATGTAATATAATATCTGGTAATTATTCAGAATTTTCCTCAAAGAATACGATTTTCTATGAATTTTATACTAAGAATTAAAAAGGAAATATATTTAAAATTCACGAAAAAAGGAAATAAGGGTGCGAACGTCAGGATGACGTCAGCGCCCGGCGAACGTGAATCGGGCGGAAACCGAGTTCCGCCCGGTGATTCTTACATAAGCGATTACAGACGATTTAATTAATCAAATTAAGATATGTAAAAATCGGAAGAATCGTAATAGAACAAAATATATTTTGGTAAATTAAAAACACAAAATTTATCACTAAATGAAGCGTAAAGTAAATTGAACGCGAATCGGGCGGAAACCGAGTTCTGCCCGGTGATTCTTACATAAGCGATTACAGACGATTTAATTAATCAAATTAAGATATGTAAAAATCAGAAGAATCGTAATAGAACAAAATATATTTTGGTAAATTAAAAACACAAAATTTATCACTAAATGAAGCGTAAAGTAAATTGAAAGCAGGAAAACGAAGTTCTGACATCGCGACGGCGATGCGTCGGCGATGCACTGAAATTCTGAGTGTTTGGAAGGATCGTTGTGTAGTGTCCACGGCCTCGAAGGCTCTCCTTGGACAAGGACGATGTGGGCAATCTCTAGATCTTCTCGTAAAGTCTAGAGATTAATGAAATGGGTCGTCGAATTATCTCCGGCGGCTGTCACCCAGCGGAGCGGAAAAACGGCGACTTTGCGGCTCTCTAGCGGCTGTCACCCGATGGAGAGGAGCTGGATGAAGGTGGGGCGCATGTCAGGGAGCTTCATCCTCAGGTCTGCGCAGCAAGAGGAGGCTCTTCATCGCATCCGGTACGCTCTCAGGAGGTGGGGACTCGTCTCCCAGCGGATCGTCCTCTTCCCGACAACGGCTTGTTCGTCGATCAATCGGAGATGATTTACTCGATGGATTCGCAATCCTTTTATCGCGAATCGTTCAACAATTTTAGTAGCAATGCTCCACAAATCGCGTTGACGAGATTTTCGCCGATGATCCAGCGATTCTCGTTGCTTAATCCTTCACCGGCGATCTGCAGGAAAGTCGCGATAATCAGATAAAAATATATGAATTTTTACTCTGGGAGGATTCGAACCTGCGCCGGTCGCTCGCCTTTGAGGAAGGTGTGATGCGGGTTTAGTCCCACATCGGTTGTGCGCCGATTTTTCGGGCGAATATATAGTAATGTTAGCTTTGTAAGCAAAGTCCCTTCTCTCACGTGTACGACCACTCCTTGCCCCACAGCCGGCTGGCCACCGGTGACGTGGAAGGGGAGTGGTGCACACGTGCCCCTATCAGTTCAAGCTAAGCCGCTCGAGCCCCTGCTCGCGGCTACTCCCTGACTGCGCTTCCGACCCGCTTGTGGGCCCGGCTGGCCGGCGGGTCCCCCTATTTTGCAAGATTTTTATTTTTATTTCTTGTTCTTCATTTATCTCAAAAGTAAGACTGTAAAAATCATATAAAATCACATAATTACCCAAAAATTCACGTTAATCAACTGAAAACCACAAATCATACTTTAACACAAATATAAGTCTATTTATCATGAGTTAAGGCTAAAACTATATTATTTACTAATTATTAACTCATGATAATGAAGACTTATCAGTAACAAGGGTGACCGGAAGTCTACTATGAGTTATTACACATATGTCAGAGGTAACCTCATCACCTAGTGATAAGTCTTTATTATCATGAGTTAATAATTAGTAAATAATATAGTTTTAGCCTTAACTCATGATAAATAGACTTATATTTATGTTAAAGTGTGAAAAGTGGTTTTCAATTAATTAATGTGATTTTTTGGATAATTATGTAATTTTATATGAATTTATATGATTTTTATAGTCTTACTTTTGAGATAAATGAAGAAAAAGAAATAAAATTAAAATATTACAAAATGAGGGGACCCGCCGTCCAGCCGGGCCCGCAAGCAGGTCGAAAGCTCAGTCAGGGAGTAGCCGCGAGTAGGGGCTCGAGCGGCTTAGCTTGGACTGATAGGGGCACGTGTGCGCCACTCCCCTTCCACATCACCGGTGGCCAGTCAGCTGTTGGGACAAGGAGTGTGGTCGTACACGCGAGAGAAGGAACTTTGCTTAGAAATGTAACATTAGTATATATTCGCTCGAATAATCGGCACACAACCGATGTGGGACTAAACCCGCGTCACACCTTCCTCAGAAGGGGCAGACAACCGGCGCGGGTTCGAATCCTCCCAGAGTCAAAATTCATATATTTTTATCTGATTATCGCGACTTTCTTGCAGATCGCCAGTGAAGGATTAAGCAACGAGAATCGCTGGATCATCGGCGAAAATCTCGTCAACGCGATTCGCGGAGCATTGCTACTAAAATTGTTGAACGATTTGCGATAAAAGGATCGTAAATCCATCGAGTAAATCATCTCTGATTGATCGACGAACAAGTCGTCGTCGGGAAGAGGACGATCCGCCGGGAGACGAGTCTCCACCTCTTGAGAGCGTACCAGATGTGATGAAGAGCCTCCTCTTGCTCTGCGGACTTGAGGATGAAGCTCCCTGACATGCGCCCCACCTTCATCCAGCTCCTTTCTGTCGGGTGACAGTCGCCAGAGAGCCGCAAAGTCGCCGTTTTTCCACTCCACCGGGTGACAGCCACCAAAGATGACTCGACGACCCATTTCATTAATCTCTAGACTTTGTGAGAAGATCTAGAGATTGCCCACGTCGTCCTTATCCAAGGAGAGCCTTCGAGGCCGTGGACACTGCACGATGATCCTCCCAAACACTCAGAATTCCAGTGCATCGCCGACGCATCGCTGTCACGACGCCGGAACTCTGTTTTCCTGCTTTTAACTTACTTTACGCTTCATTTAGTGATAATTTTTGTGTTTTTAATTTACCAAAATATACTTTGTTCAATTACAATTCTTCGGGCTTTTACAGATCTTAATTTGATTAATTAAATCATCTATAATCGCTTACGTAAGAATCGCCGGGTGGAACTCTTTTTCTGCCTGATTCACGTTCGCCGTGCGCTGATGTTATCCTGATGTGCCCACCCTTATTTCCCTTTTTCATTAATTTTAAATATATTTCCTTTTCATTTCCTAGTATAAAATTCATAGAAAATCGTATTCATTGAGAAATTTTTTGAATAATTACCAGATATTATATTACATCCCTGTGATCGACTTGGAAAATTACTGCTATTTTTGGAAGTTTTATTGAATTATAATTGATATATTTGTTTAGAAATATTTCTAAATATCTGAAAAGTCGTATTTTTTAGTTTTATAAATTTTAGATTTACGTGATTTAATATAAAACGACTGAGTCACATCAAATTTTAGTGCCGTTGTCGGGGATGTATTGCATAATATTTAGTATTTTTTTGTTTTTCTCTTAGAGTACACAAAAAATTTAACTCTTGTTTTATTTTCTTTTTGTCGATTTTTTTTAAGAAAAAGGGAATGAAAAGAAGCAAGGCAAGGGCTGGAGCATACTAAAGGAGGGTAACAATTACTAAACTTTTCCCTCGAATTTATTGATTTTTTATATGCATGGTAGAAGATCCTTGCATCCAAGGCTAGAAAATCCTTTCATTATTTCATTCAAGACTAAAAATCCGAAAGAAAAATTAAGTTTTGATGGATCCTGAAGGAAGTACACGTCAAACTGAGAACAATCCTATGGCCATGAAAAATCATTATATCCCTAATTCATTTCAAAGAGTATCAAATATTAGAGTCCCATTAGCACCCACTATTAAATTTGAAATAAATCTAGGAATTTAATTTTCATGGATTGCCTTTAGAGGAACCTCATCAGCACTTAGAAAAATTTCATATGATTTGTGATTTAGTTAATCTCCCTCAAGTTACACCAGAAATTATTAGGATAAAATTATTTCCTCATACACTTAGGGACAAAGCTAGCCATTGGCTATCCACATTAGATAGAGAATTAACCAGCCAGAAAGACATAGAACAGACCTTTCTTTGAAAATTTTATCCCTTAGGAAAAACCCAAAATATGAGAAAACATATATGGAGTTTTTCTCAAAGACCAAGAGAAACTTTACATGAGACATGGGAAACATTCAAAGATTTACTTAGAAAGTGTCCTCATCATGCTATACCCAAGTGGCAGCTCAATAGAATTTTTTATGATGGATTATTAGAACAACATAGAAATATGATTGATTCTATATGCGGAGGAACTTTTATGGAGAAAACTCCTGATGAGATTTACAGTCTTTATGAGAATTTAAGTGAAAATTCTAGAGATCAAGCCTCTTTTGAATTATATGATAGGGATAAGAAGAGAGGAATTTATGAATTGTATCATGATGATGATTCTAAACTTAGAAATGAGGTTAATTAGATTAATCAAAGATTAGAAAAACTTGATTTACTTATTGACAATATTAGAAAGCCTCTTAACCCTCAATTTAATTCAAATAGTACATGTCCTATGTATGGTGAGAATGATTATTCTGAATTTCAATGTTATAATTTAGATCAATCATTTCACCCTAAGCAAGAACAAGTACAAGTAGCTCACGATTTTAATAGAAATAGGGAACCTTTTTCAAATTCTTATAATCCTAATTGGAGGAATAATTTTTCATGGAGAGACCCAAATAATATTCAAAATCCAAAAGCACTTAGACTCAATTCAAACTCTAAATTTTGTCCAAAAATAAGAAAACAGATTTCAAAAAAATCAGCCCTCTCAAACCCAACCTGATACTATGGAAATGATGCAGCAAATGAGCCAAATGATGCAACAAACTATGAATCAAATGATGCAGCACCAGAAACAAATTATAGAGGCCCTTGGGAATAAGAGAGAGGAGGGACAGCTACCTAGTCAGTCCATAGAAAATCCAGGGAACCGCCCAACAATAAGATTTCAGTAAGGGAGTCTAGTAGCATGAATCTAGGAAAAAACCCACGAAATAAAAATGTTAGGACAGTGAATGCATTAAGGAGTGGTAAGATCTTACCTGATCCTTATCCCCAAACATTAGAAGAAAAAGAAAACGTGGACAACCCAAAACAAAATCAAATAGGAGTAGAAGAGGATTTTATAGATTCTACCAAGGACAACCATTCCATTTCCTAAAGCTCTAGAGCCTAGACAAAGAAAGAAAAAGGAACACAATGAAGAAATAAAGAAAATTTTACAAGATGTGCAAATTAGTCTTCCTTTACTCACTACCATTGAACATATTCTTGAATATGCTAGAGTTTTGAAAGAAATGTGTACACCAAAAAGGGCACCTAGAGTAGAAAAATTATCTATGTATGCTAGTGCATTATTATTAAATCAATTACCATATAAATTGAGAGATACAGGTGCCCCTTTAATTTCGTGTGATATTGGTGGATCCATTTTTCAGAATGCATTACTTGACACCGATGCTAGTATTAATTTATTACCTACAAGTATTTGTGATAAATTTAATATTTCTGATCTTAAACCTTCTACTGTTACCTTACAATTTGCTGATAGATCTATAAAACATCTTAAAGATATTTTAAAAAATGTGATAGCAACAATTAAAGGGTGTAAATTTCTAGCTGATTTTGTAGTGCTTGAAATAGATTTTAATGGACAGTTTTATGATACACCAATCATCCTAGGGAGACCATTTTTACATACAGCAAAGATGAATATTGATTTTTCCACAAGTATTGCAAAAATTTCATGTGGAGATCAATCAGTAGAAATTAAAATTTTTGAGGTACCAAATGATCTTAAGAAATCACAAGTATATGATTGTCATACCATAGATCTTCTAGATGATTTTGATGATCCAGATGTTATTGATGACTGTGTGCTGGAAGAATTAGAGGAAATAGAGAATATAAATTTGGGAGAAGAGAAAGAGGAAGATCATCTGAATTTAGAGTTGAAACCTCTTCCCTCTAGTTTAAAATATATGTTTTTGGAGGAAAATAATTCATTTTCTGTTATTATTGCAACTGATTTGAGTGATGAACAAGAAGAAGAATTATTAGATGTACTTCAAAAAAATAAGAAGGTTATGGGCTGGAAAATGGACGATCTAGGGGCATTGATATGAGTGTATGCATGCATAGTATATATCTAGAGGAGGGGGCTAGAACTAGTAGGGAACCACAACGAAGATTAAATCTTAACATGATGGAAATTGTAAAAAAAGAAATTTTAAAGTGGTTGGCTGCTGATATTATTTATCCTATTTCAGATAGCAAATGGGTTAGTCTTATACAAGTAGTGCCAAAAAAATTAGGGATCACGATTATAAAAAATGAAAATGGAGATGAAATACAAACAAGATTAACTATCGGTTGGAGGGTTTGCATTGATTATAAAAAATTAAATTCAGTTACTAGAAAAGATCATTTTCCCCTACCATTTACTAATCAAATTCTAGAAAAATTAGTTGGAAAAAACTTTTTTTGTTTTCTGGATGGATACTTTGGTTATAATCAAATTTATATAAACCCTTTAGATCAAGAAAAAATAACTTTCACTTGTCCATTTGGTACTTTTACTTTTAAACACATGCCTTTTGGTCTGTGTAATGCTCCAGCCACATTTCAAACATGTATGTTGTCTATTTTTTCTGATATGATTGGAAAATGCATGGAAATTTTTATGGACGATTTTTGTGTTTTTGGTGAATCATTTGATGAATGCTTAAATCATTTATAGCATGTACTTGAGAAATTCATAGAGAAAAAATTAGTTTTGAGTTGGGAGAAATCACATTTTATGGTTAAAGAGGGAGTTGTGTTGGGTCATATTGTGAGTAAAAGGGGTTTAGAGGTGGATAGAGCAAAAATTGATATTATATCTAAAATGAAACCTCCAAATTCAGTAAAACAGATTAGATCTTTCTTGGGTCATGCAGGTTATTACAGAAAATTTATTCAAGATTTTTTGAAAATTTCTAAACCTCTCATCATGCTATTATCTAAAGATGCACCTTTTAATTTTGATGAGAAATGTTTTGAGTCTTTTTCTGAAATAAAAAGATTACTTACTGAGGCACCCATTTTACAAGCTCCTGATTAGTCCCTTCCTTTTGAAATGATGTGTGATGTATCGAATTATGCAGTGGGGGCCGTTCTAAGACAAACAAAAGAGTCAAAACCCATAGTAATTTCATATGCTAGTAAAACTATAACCGATGCTCAATTAAATTATACCACGACTGAAAAAGAGTTGTTAGCTATAGTATTTTTGTTAGAAAGGTTTAGATCATATATTTTGGGAGCTAAAATTATTATTTATACTGATCATGCAACATTAAAATATCTGTTAAATAAGAAAGATGCAAAGCTACGTTTATTAAGATGGATTTTATTGTTGTAGGAATTTGACTTAGAAATAAAAGATAAAAAAGGTTTCGAGAATGTTGTTACTGACCATCTTTCTAGATTAAGTGATATAGGAATAAATGCAGCACCTTTACAAGACGTATTTTCGGATGAACAATTGATGGCAGCTCAACATCAACCATCACCATGGTATGCACATATTGTTAATTTTCTTGTTTCTGGAAAAACTCCAGACTAGTGGGATAAGAACAGAAAACATCATTTCTTTTCTAAGATTAGAAATTATTTTTGACATGATCCTGATTTATATTACTTGGGCAATGATCAAATTTTAAGGAGATGTGTTCCTGAAGAAGAATATCATAGCATTATTAACATGTGCCATTCATCTAACTGTGGAGGACATTTCTTTGGACGAAAAACAGCTACAAAATTTTTTCAGTGTGGTTTTTATTGGCATACAATCATTAGAGATTCTATAGAATTTAGTAGAATTTCATGCCAATCTATAGGTAACATGAGTAAAAAAGATGAAATGCCCATGAGTAACATGTTAGTAGTCGAAATTTTTGATGTATGGGGAATAGATTTCATGGGTCCCTTCCCATCAGCTGAAAAGTATGAATATATTTTGCTTGCTGTTGATTATGTGTCGAAGTGGGTGGAAGCTATTCCTACTAGAACTAATGATCATAAAATCGTGATGAAATTTGTGTAGGAAAATATTTTTTCGAGATTTGGATGTCCTAGAGTGATTATTAGTGATGGAGGAACACATTTTACAAATAAACATTTCAGAGAACTACTGAAAAAGAATGGAGTACACCATAGAGTAGCCACTCCATATCATCCCCAAACAAATGGGCAAGCTGAAGTAGCAAATAGGGAAATTCAGAGAATTTTGAGAAAAATAGTTAGACCAGATAGGAAAGATTGGCCCACGAAATTACAAGATGTATTATAGGCTTATAGAACAGCTTATAAAAATCCCATAGGTATGTCCCCATTTCGTTTGATTTTTGGAAAGCCATGTCATCTTCCTATGGAAATAGAGCATAAAGCATTATGGGCTATAAAAATTTTATGTATGGATGAAAAATCAGTTGGTGGGCATAGAATTTTTCAGCTACATGAACTAGAGGAGTTGAGGAATGAAGCTTATGAAAATCATAGAATATATAAAGAAAAAACTAAAACTTTTCATGATAAATACATTAGCAGAAAAAAAATTGATGTTAGACAAAAAGTGTGGTTATATGATTCTAGGCTGAAATTATTCCCAAGAAAATTAAAATCAAAATGGAAAGGGCTTTATGTGGTGGAAGAGACATATGATCATGGGGCTGTAACGATTAAAGATCCTAAAAGTGATCATAACTTTAAAGTAAATGGACAGCAGCTTAAACATTACATAGAACATAAATGTCTTGCAGAAAAAGAAATTTAATTATTAAAAGAAATTCAAGAGTAAGATCAAGGAGTCTAGTTGGAGACATTAAATGCAGCGCTGCATGGGAGACAACTCACGGTTTTTATTTCATTCTGTTTGATTTTTTTTTTAAGCTCTGTTTTTCTTAGAATTTCACAATACTTGTTTCTATATTTGTTTTTTCGAAAAAGTGCAGGAGGAGTGTAAGATGAAGTGGAAAATTAAAAACGAGGTTGAGGTGATGTCTTTCTGAGCTTTATCATTTATGACAACATTTTTAATACTTAACTTTGCATATATGCATGTTTCACTTGAAAATTATATTTTCTGCATATTCTGTTTCGAGTTTTCTGTGTCATTGAGAACAATGTCATTTCTAAGTTGGGGGGTGAAATATTCATTATTAATTTATGCTGTAGGACGATTAAGAATATGTGTTTGCATTAGAACAGAAACTGAAAAATTAAAAAATAAAATAAAATTTGGAAAAACTACAACATCTGTTTTCTGGTTTTTTGTCAGGAACAATAGACTGTCAAAAACAGCAGACAAAAAAAAGCCCGAAATTTGAAATTCTAGAGACCCTTTTCTCACATTTCAATCCCCGAGACATATGTTACTGAAATTCAAAATTACAGCTATAAAGACGATAGTTTTGATTTATTTTTGACAAATTTATTATTGCTAAAAACAGAACTGAAAATAGAAAATAGAACTGTCAGAATATCTAATTTACAAATTTTTTACATCATATTGCATGCATGAAAAATTAAATCAATTAGATTGATTGATACCAAAAGACACTAGGAAGATTATTATTGAGTCAAAAGAATGATCTAGTAGCATGAAATGTTGGAATACTCCTTGGATACATGATAGATAACATGGATTTGATTTTACAGATTTTCACTTCATGATCTTGATGGATAGTATTTACTTGATTTGAAAATTTGATTGATCATTTGAGTTTAATAGAGATTTTTGCACCCAGATCTATAGGACTTGTGAGGAGAAATCACTTATTTCGAAAAAAAAAGAGAGAGCAATGTGAAAAATCTAGAAATGAAGAGTACACATGGAGGGTGTGAGACATCATTCTCATTGTCGAAAATCGTGTATAGAAAAACACTTGCTGCAAAATAAGTGGATAAAGTGAAAGCCCTGAAAATTAAAAGTACACATAGAGGGTGTGAGACATCATTCTCATTGTCGAAATTTGTCTACAGGAAAAGCTACTTATCCACTATAAAAGAAGGAAGAAATATAGTGCAAACTTCAAAAATCAAGCCATGGAAAAAGAGAAATGTAGGATCAATATTATTCTTGGATGATTATTGATAATTGGAACATCTTGTAAATATATCTATGAGTGAAGAAGTGATAAAGATGTGAATAGAAGAAGTGAAGTCTAGATTGTTATTCTAAAGAGTACTTAAACATTTAAGTGCTTGACATCATTCTTAAAGACTTGATATAAGAGTCTAAAGTGTCTAAAGGTACATCATTTATAATTGTATTTTTATTTTTTTTGTATTGAAATATGATGTTTGAGATTTGTAAATTTTTATTTTCGTAATTCTATTGCTAAGGGACTAGCAATGATTTAAGTTGGAGGGTGTGATAAGTCTTCATTATCATGAGTTAATAATTAATAAATAATATAGTTTTAGCCTTAACTCATGATAAATAGACTTATATTTGTGTTAAAGTGTGAAAAGTGGTTTTCAGTTGATTAATGTGATTTTTTGGATAATTATGTGATTTTATACGAATTTATATGATTTTTACAGTCTTACTTTTGAGATAAATGAAGAAAAAGAAATAAAATTAAAATATTACAAAATGGGGGGACCTGCCGGCCAGCCAGGCCCACAAGCAGGTCGAAAGCTCAGTCGGGGAGTAGCCGCGAGCAGGGGCTCGAGCGGCTTGGACCAATAGGGGCACGTGTGCGCCACTCCCCTTCCACGTCACCAGTGGCCAGCCGACTGTGGGGCAAGGAGTGGTCGTACACGCGAGAGAAAGCACTTTGCTTAGAAATGTAACATTACTATATATTCGCTCGAATAATTGGCACACAACCGATGTGGGACTAAACCCGTGTCACACCTTCCTCAGAAGGGGCAGACAACCAGCGCGGGTTCGAATCCTCCCAGAGTCAAAATTCATATATTTTTATCTGATTATCCCGACTTTCTTGCAGATCGCTAGTGAAGGATTAAGCAATGAGAATCGCTAGATCATCGGCGAAAATCTCGTCAACGCGATTCGCGGAGCATTGCTACTAAAATTGTTGAATGATTTGTGATAAAAGGATCGCGAATCCATCTAGTAAATCATCTCCGATTGATCGACGAACAAGTCGTCGTTGGGAAGAGGACGATCTGCCGGGAGACGAGTCGCCACCTCTTGAGAGCGTACCAGATGCGATGAAGAGCCTCCTCTTGCTGCGCGGACCTGAGGATGAAGCTCCCTGACACGCGCCCCACCTCCATCCAGCTCCTTTCCGTTGGGTGACAGCCGCCAGAAAGCCGCAAAGTCGTCGTTTTTCCACTCCGCCGGGTGACAGCCGCCGGAGACGACTCGACGACCCATTTCATTAATCTCTAGACTTTACGAGAAGATCTAGAGATTGCCCACATCGTCCTTGTCCAAGGAGAGCCTTTGAGGCCGTGGACACTACACAACGATCCTTCCAAACACTCAGAATTTCAGTGCATCGCCGACGCATCGCCGTCGCGATGTCAGAACTTCGTTTTCCTGCTTTTAACTTACTTTACGTTTCATTTAGTGATAATTTTTGTGTTTTTAATTTATCAAAATATACTTTGTTCAATTATGATTCTTCTGGCTTTTACAGATCTTAATTTGATTAATTAAATCATCTATAATCGCTTACGTAAGAATCGCCGGGCAGAACTCTGTTTCCGTCTAATTCGTGTTCGTCGGGCGCTGATGTCATCCTGACGTCCGCACCCTTATTTCTTTTTTTTGTGAATTTTAAATATATTTCCTTTTCATTTCCTAGTATAAAATTCATAGAAAATCGTATTCATTGAGATTTTTTTTGAATAATTACCAGATATTATATTACATCCCTGTGATCGACCTAGAAATTACCGCTATTTTTGAAAGTTTTATTGAATTATAATTGATATATTTGTTTAGAAATACTTCTAAATATCTGAAAAGTTGTATTTTCTAGTTTTATAAATTTTAGATTTGCGTAATTTAATATAAAACAACTGAGTCACGTCACCTAGCAGTCTTGAAAATAGTAGGCGGTGTCTTGCTCTAGTGCAGAGTCTAAGTATCAAGCCATGGTTGAAATTGCACGAGAGATGATATGGCTTCAATCACTTCTTGAAGACCTTGACATCTCTTCTCCTTTTTCAATGTCCAAACATCATAACAATCAAGTTACTATCTTTATTGTCAACAATCACTTTAACCTTTCATGAGCATACAACGCATATTGAGATTGATTGTCACTACATTTGAGATAATGTTATGTTTGGTCCCGTTTCTACTCTTATGTGACCTCATCTCATCAACTCGCAAATGTCTTTATGAAAAGTTTGGCCAGGATCTCTTACAATGCCACATATACCAAGTTGGGTATGTTTGACTTATATATTTCAACTTGAGGGGAAGTGTTCAATAGTATCATCAAACTCTCAACTCATTAGGGCCCATTAAGGCCCATCATCTATATCTTCTCTTCTCTTCTTCTATATATACACATGTAGTCCTTTATTCTTGATGATGTATTCTAAGGTTTTCTCTTTCATTATCAACATTATATAAAAGTTTTTCTATCACCTAATCTAAGGTTTGAACATGATCTTGTGCGCTTCTCACCATCAAAGTATTTGTCTTTATAGAGCATGTTCATTAGTACTCTATATTGCAAGCATATGAAATAATAAGAAATCAACATGTACTTGTGTCCTCAGCAACTCTACTTTGCGTCTTATACTGCCCAACCTACTCCAAATTTATTTTAACCAAAGTGAAAGTGTGTGTTACTAAAGTAAGGCCTGTTCATGCCATCCTCATTCTAGCTTAGTTGAATACCTCAAGCATCATCAAAAGATCATTAGAAGTCCATGTTTATATCCTCAAATAAGTAATTGACTCCACTGGTTCAACTAAGGTAATTAGAATATTTAATTTTTGGTAAGCTTGATTCATTCCCAAACTGGGATAACCAAAGGAGGTGATGGCCTCCAATATAGTATTTTGGCCCCATTAAACCTTCAATGGTAAGCCAAAGATTTTTGGGAACCTTCAGTTTGCTACATTTGACATATTCCCTAATCGTTAAGGTGAGTGGGTTGTTGAAGCCATGAATCTTCAGCTTATATATGTACTTGAATGATATATCATAGTGTAACTTAGAAACAAGTTCTTGAGGTGGAGGCAGACCTAGCACCACTATAAAATCTCCTATGTTAATTAAGTTGAGTGTGAAGACTGATTAAATACTATAGAGTGAGAACAAATAAAAAGTGAGTGAAGGAGCTGAGCAATTAAAAAATAAGGATTGCTTTTAAGGGTTTATAGACTATTACAAGTTTTCACTAAATCACCCTCCCTATTGATAGTAAGTGCAGCCATACAACCACCAACCTTATTATATTTCTGATGTGAAATATGAGAAATATTTGAGAATATTTCATAAAAACTTGATAATGATGGATTTTATCCATTGTAAGAATAAAGTAGATTTTAAAATAAGTTAAAAGATGATGGAAAAATTGTTAGCAATAAAGATAGATTAGTTTCACAATGATCAAATATGGAGAATAGCTAATAATGATCAAATAGAAATCAAAGAGGAACTATATGTGACTCAACTAGTTGATTTTATAAAGAAAAAAATCATGATTAAGGTTTTAAATTGTTGATAGAAGTGTAGTCTTAAGCAAGTTTTGAGAGCATGGTATAAAAGATTGACCTCATTTTTGGAGGAACATGAACTTGATAGAGGAAGTATTGATACTATTCTATTTTTTTTTAAAAGATGAATATATACTTATTGTGAAAATTTTATTCGTGATATTGCCTTTGGATCTACTTCTAAAAATGGTAAAATAATTTTCTAAGATCTAGAAGGATATATTTTAAACAAGCATGATAGGTGCTTAATTATTTCCTAAGATTAAAAATTAAATAATTGGAAGATAGAATCACACATAATTATTGTCAAAAGGATTTTTAGATACATATCAAATAAACCTAACTTTAAAACTTAGTTTCCAAAATATTGTGACATGAATTTAGTTGTTTACAATGATTCTAGTTTTTTCTGAAAAAATAACTAATCATAAAAGCATCAGTGGGTGTTACTTACTTTTAGGTAGATGCTTGATTTCATGGACATCAAAAAAATAGGTAATTATTATATTGTCAAAAACTGAAGCTAAATATAAAAAGATAAAATTAGGTTTTTTTTATATGTATCCAAAAATCCTTTTGACAACAATTATGTATGAATCTATCCTCCAAAAATTCTCATTTTTGGTTTATGAGTGTATGTGTTGACACAGATTCTCATAGAGCTTCCTCATTTTGAGTACTGGTTTACTCAAGGCTCTCTCTCTCTACATAGGTTTTCTTTTAATTCTCTATCACCACCAAGGACACAATTGATTTTTATACTAGTTCACCCTCACTTAACTACTTCTAGTTCTGTAAGATACTTTATGTTAGAGATAATTATTTTCTATTGAAAATACATATTGATTTCATGAGATCATAAGTCCAACCACATTAGTTCAATCTCCTTAGAAATCACACATTTTATAGGCACAAGGAGGGTCTCAACACTACATGTTTTTGCCCAAACTCTTCTCCACTTACAATCTAAGTACCTTAGGGTTAGATGGAGAGTTTTAGCTTTTGAAAGAATATTTTTTGAATCACCGATAGTGAATTATTTTTCTTGGGCTTTTATTCTATTCTTATTTTTAGTTTATGAGTGGATGTGTTGACATAGATTCTCATAGAATTTTCTTGTTCTGAGTATGGGTTTACTCAAGACTTTATCTTTCTCTACACAAGTTCTCTTTTGATTCCCTATCACCACTAAGGGTACAAATGATTTTCATACTAGTTCACCCCTCACTTGGCTACTTCTAGTTCCGGATGATCCTTCATACTATAGTTACATATTCTCTATAAGAAATACATATTGATTTAATGAGATCATAAGTCGAACCACATAAGTTCAGTCTCCTTAGAAACAATGCCTTTTACACACACAATCAAGCTCTCAACACTACATGCTTTAGCCCAAACTTTGATACCTTGATTTTTCTTGTATTCCTTCACTATGATTTTTGACTTGTCATGATTTAGGTTCCAACTTTGATACTTGTCAGTGCCTTTCATATTTTGTATTTTTTAGTATTTCGTCGTTGAGGCTTCCAACTTGTTGTCATTTAGGTTCTAAGTTAGAATCATGCACATAACTTAATATTTCTTGACTTTCTATCTGTTTTTCTCTCTGAGGCTTTTGACTTTTTATTATTCAAGTTCTGAATTAAATCTTGTTAATGAATCTGATATTTCAATATTTTTAAGTATTTCATTATAAATGTTGTCAATGAATTTTGTATACTTATATTTGAACTCTAGAATGTTACACTAATTTCAACATATAAATATATCAAAGCATAACTCATTAAAATCATTTGTTAGTCAAAAGATCACACACATCATCATTATATATGCTGAAAAACCCTTTAAAATATTAAATTCCTAACATAAGTTTTCATAAAGTTTATTGAAAATTCAATAAATAAATATATATATATATATATTTGTAATATCAAAATCAAAAGTATCAACAAAAACTACTATAATTATTTTGACAAAGAATCCCATCATTCATTTAGAACAAAGCATAAAGATATCAGAAATCATTCTATTTGATATTGTGTGAATAAAAATAATATTTATTTACTTTTGTTCTTAAGAAATCATAATTAGCTTATATTTTTATGAAACCTTTGAGTATATAATATGTAAGAAAATAGAGGTACATGATTCAAAATAATTTATGTTTTAAATTCAGAATTTATTTTCAAAGTTTAAATAAAATCATTTATAATTTGTTGAAATTCTATATTGAATAAGTTATTTATATTTGAAAATTCAATGATGAATGTTGTGTTATTCTTGAATCATATAATTTTGGGTGAATTACAAAGTTAGAAAAAATATCATAATGGAAAAAATAAATACAAATTTAGAAAAAATTGAGATATATTTTAAAAACATTTTAAGGGGTAGGATTGAAACATATATTCTAGTTATTGATGAAATTGACATTAGGAAGACTTATTTTTGTACTACAATTCTATTGCATCAAACTCTTATTTTTCTCATTCATTCTTGGCCTCACAAAAGTTAATTTTAACAAGCCCTTGAGCCTAAATGATAGCGGGAGTAATTTCAAATATTTTGATCAAATCTTAATCTCATGTCTAACTGTGAAAGTTGATGCACATTGATTATTCCTATTCCACTAATTATAATATTTGTTTTTCCAAATTTTATTGGTCATTTGATAAGTATTGGCTCTAAAATGGGTTAAAAAGGTTCCATTAGAAATCTAGAGGCTGTAAAAAAAAAAAATTACTAATTCAAGATATGTACAACATTGCGTGGTGATGAGACCTAATCAATTGATCTTTTTGAATAAAACATAATATGTTAGGACTGATAGATGAGTTTTAAATCCTAATTTGGAATCATAATATGTCGTTGACATTAGAAACAATAAGTTTCATCAATGATAAGTCAGTTGTCAATGATTTTAGACTGTTCAAGTTGACTAATTTTAGGGTTAGGCCTTTCTTCTGCCTCATCATAGTCAGAAATAATGATATAGTTCAAGTAAAGTCTGTCTAAACAATCTAAATAGATTGTTTAAAATTATACATGACTGACAATGGAATCAATTTGAGTTGGAAGAATTGGCCATGTTTTAGAAGAAAATGTCTTAAAGACAAAAGATTTGAAAATGAAAGAGTTCTTGTGAATCAAAACAGAACAAAATATGAAATGATCAATGTTTGTGTTCAAAATAGGGCTGTGATTCTTAAATTTCAAATAGTCAACTTGAGAGGGATGACTTCAAGACACCACTTTGCTTTTACAAGATGATGAAAGCTAACTTTTCAAGGTTAAGTTTAATTTATATGTAGAACTTGGTCTACATGTTATAAAGCCCATGGGTAAATAGATTCTTCATTGAATAACTAAAACAAAATAAAAAAGATCAGTCACAGAGTTCTCATTTTAAGATATTTTATAGACAGGTGTCCCGGCAAATTTCTAGATGATGAACTAAAAAACACGACGGATAATAGCAGTGTATATGGAAAAAAACATGATAATGGCAGCTTGCGGAGTTCGATACCGTCGACTGAATCAACGGGATGGGCCAATCTGGGAAGGCCACTGCAGGGTCCGCCGGTCATAGCTTGGCGTCCACAACGGAGATGTGGACGGCGGCCATGGGCGCCTACGGCAGCGTCCGGCAGCGCCACTTGTTGGGTGCTTAGGATCTTCGCGTGGGAGGGAGGTACGGAGAACCGCGTGGGCGGTAGCCAAAGCCGCCGATGGCGCGGCGGCGATGGAGCAGAGCCGAGGAGGAGCGGGTGGTGGCGCTGGTGGAGAAATGCCGCCTCTCCCGCCGGAAGCTCCAGCAGGTGCACTCGCACGTCCTCGTCTCCGGGGGGCAGCACAACAACTACGTGGCGGCGAAACTCGTGCGGGCTATGGCGGAGCTCGGGCACCTCCGCGATGCCCGCGAGCTGTTCGACGCTATGCCCGATCCGAATGACTTCCTCTGGAACGCCCTCATCTGGGGCTATGCAAGACCCCCCGACCCTGACTGCGCTGGGGGGCAAGACTGCTGCTGGGAGGCGCTCCATTCGTACGGCCGGATGCACCGGTCGCTCTCCTCCTCCCCGCGGCCGCTTGCGTTCACTCTCTCCTCAGCTCTGAAGGCCTGCGCGAAGCTCTCAGCCGTGGAGGAGGGAACGCAGATCCATGCTCACGCGTTCAAGTACGGCTTCCAGTCCGACGCACGGGTGCAGACGACCCTGGTCGACCTCTACGGCTTCTGCCGCCGCCCCGCTGACGCCCGCCGGGTCTTCGACAGGATCGTCTCGGCGAGCGGAGGAATAGGTGACGTTCAGGTGTGGAACACCATGATCGCCGGATACCACCTCTCCGGGGATGCAGACGCTGCTCGGCGCCTGTTCGATGAAATGCCCGAGAGGAATACCTTCTCCTGGATGGAGATGGTCCGGGGTTACGCCGCTACCGGACGGCCGGAGGATCTCCGTCGGCTCCTCAAGGTGCTACCTCTGGCTCGGGATGACGTCGATAGGGTGGTCATCTCCACCGCCGTGATCACGGGCTTCCTGAAGTGCGGGGATGCGGCCGCGGCCCGAGTGCTGTTTGATGAAATGCCCACCCCGGATGTCGCAGCATGGAACGCCATCATCTCCGGCTATGCCGGAGCGGGACTGCCGGAGCAGGCGGTCGACCTCTTCCGGCTCTTGCTGGAGGACTGTACGGTGAGGCCCAATCGAGCGACCGTCGTCGCCGCCGCCGCTGCCTGCGCCCAGTTGGGTTCGGCAGAGTCGGCAAGGTGGGTGGCAGACTGCGTCGACCGCCGCGGCGCCGAGCTGCTAAACGGCCACGCCGTCGCCGCCCTCGTCGACATGCACGCCAAATGCGGTGACCTGCGGCGGGCGTGCGGCATGTTCCGGCGGTGGAACCCGAAGGACCTGGTCTGTTACAGCTCCATGATAGCCGCCTTCGGCGTCCACGGCCGGGGGAAGGAGGCTATCGAGCTTTTCGGCGAGCTGCTCGCCGCAGGGTTGAGGCCCGACGGCGTCTGCTTCGTCTCCGTCCTCGCCGCGTGCAGCCACGCCGGGCTGGTGGACGAGGGCCAGCAGATCTTCCAGTCCATGAGGCGCGACCACGGCATCTCCCCGGCGACGGAGCACTACGTCTCGCTGGTGGACATGCTCGGCCGCGCGGGCCGCATCGACGAGGCCCTTTGCACGATAGCCGAGGAGATGGTTCCGGCGGTGGGGCACCATGCCGGCGTCTGGGGCGCGCTGCTGGGCGCCTGCCGGAGCCACCGGAATGTGCCAGTGGCGGAGGAAGCCGCCCGCTGGCTGATGGAGCTGGAGCCCAACAACGCCGGCAACTACGTGCTGCTATCGAACGTATACGCCGCCGCCCGGCGGTGGGAGGACGCCGCCCGGGTGAGGGGGCTGATGAGGCAGCGGGGCATGCGGAAGCCGCCGGGGTGGAGCTGGCTGGAGGTGAGCGGGAGAACGCAGAGGTTCCTGACGGGCCAGTTGGACGAGCACTCCGAACTGCAGCCTGTTTTGGCAGTGTTGGGTTGGGAATTGAGTGGCGAAGGGCTGCCGCTCATCTTTCCCACTGAAGTAGAGTGAAGATCACCTCACTTCCGGCGCAAGCTATTCTTTGTAGATCTCTGTCTCACTACATTTTAGAGAGAGAGAGAGAGAGAGTCTAGTTAGATCCTATGCGCTTAAGAGCAATAAACATTGCATCAAGGAGGGATAATGGGCTATCCTCATTCCACGTCATATTGGAAAATAGAAGCATTCTATTTTTGCTAAGATGTATCGAATGCTCTCCTGTCTTTCCTTAATTCCATTAGAATAACAACGATGTAAGACACTAAAAGCCAGATTCCGCCATTAACTGCTCCAGAATCGGATACCATAACCCCATTCCACAAACAAGCGGAGGCTAGCTGGAGTCGAAACAAGTCAGAAACAGGCATCCATATCGAAACAGGTTCAGAGCGAAAAGCAACCTAATCCCCTAATGAAACTTCTGGACTGAACCGGGTTAGGGTGAGGGCTTAGGTTGCTTTTACTGGTGGCAGTAGCTAGAAGGTCAACGAGGGAGGGTAACGAACGGGTGACAGTCTCTTAACACTCCCGTCCCTCACACTTGTCCCTAATCCAGCTTCCTCAGACATGCTGAACATGGTCAGAGCCCTACCCCGGATCCCTTCCTTTTCCCATAGGGTATCTCCAAAACTCCGAATCAACAACCAGGGGACGGGGCATTCCTCCAAGTTCTCTAATGAGAGAGGCAGACCACCTAGTACCCTCCAAAGATCTCCTACCATATTCAGAGGAAGAGAGAGAGAGTAACCAAAAGGAAAAGTATCACTCACTTTCAGACCCGAGAAAAGCATTTTTCCATATACAGTAAGCCAAGAAAAAATTATGAGAATGCAGCACCGCTGATAGTATCCGAGGGTAATCAAATGAAGAATTTATGTGCATATCTACAAATGTATACCCATTTTCACGATGATATTCCTATCTACAGTGGCCGAACACCCTCCCCCAGGCCCCAGAGATCATAGAAAGAAAGAGCTCTAGTGTGACTGGGAAGTGCAAATAAACACCTGGGTATTATAATGAATTTACCATAAGTGATTAAAAAGTAAAAGGGATAAGAATCTTAGTCAAATTGGCGAATGATGGGAACAACGAAATCCTGTCCTCAAGTCCAAAGAGAATCGTACCAATTACAATGAGGTTGCTTTGGAGGAACGACGTGCTATTTGTTCTCCACCGAAGATTTGTCACTAGCCATGGCAAAAAACTCACTCAATCCCAGATTGCTAAACCATCGGACTCCCTATTAAGGATCTCTCCAGTGACCGGTTTTAAGTAGTTTTCATCACTCTCTTCATGCTCAGAACACTAAGATGGCAATGGGGGAACTGTGCAAGAACTTTGGAGTATTAATGTCACTGGGTATTTTGATAGGCAGACACCATGGAATAATTTGAAGTTCAGATCCTCACTCCTTCTGAGGTTATTACATCTCCACATAGTCTTTACACTGCTAACTTAATGCTAACCTCAACCTCAGAATATCTTCAGATGAGATAACCAGATTCCTAGTGCTTCCTCACAAAAAATATTCTAACAGCGTTAAAAAAACCTTTGCACAGTTCAAAAGTCAACGGAGCTAATAGCTTCTAAACTCAGAAATATCAGATTTCTACTTCACAACCAAAAACAAGGCATCAACAGCATAAGAGGGCGGCCTAACAAAATGAGAATCAGTAGGCCTTGAGGTGTAATTGCGCTAATAACATGTTATTTTCTAACGGCCTACAGACGCATGAGACACATGAGGAGTTTACCATGAGCTTGCAATGGAGAATTGTTGAAGGATCATCGTTTCCTGCCGATCATCACTGCTAAAGTTTATCATCAAATGTAGATGGAGAAGCGACCTTGGAACTGATAACCTCGAGAGTGAAGAGATTCCAATTTAGGTTCACACACGAGAGTCTCCTTCTGCACAGAACGGGTGGGGCAGCTGAAAATTGTAGGCAGGGGGAAATAGCAATGGCAAACCCTCTGAGCGTATGATTCGAGGCAGTTTGTGGTCCGATAGAAGGTAACAGTCGTTCTTTATACAATGTGCAGGTTACAGTCGGTCGCGAACATGAAAGCAGGATCTGGAGATCTTCCGGGACGAAGAAAACGAATCTGAAGAAGCCTAAGAAAGAAGGGGAGGGAAGTGGGGAGAGATGGTCAAGCCTGCATCGCGTTCTTGCCGATGGCCTTCATCTGGACCTGATCCATGTCGTTGAGCGCGCCACCAGAGGATCCAGTGGGGAGGACCTCATACGATCCCATCTTTCTCAAGGATCCAGGTCCGACGCCAACTGCCCTCGCCACCGCCGCATAAATGAGGACGGCCACCGCGGCGACGAAGATTGTGTGCATCACAAACGCAAGGTCGAGCAGCGCGGCCGCCCGGAGTCGCGATTCCTCGAGCTCGCACTTTGTGGAGCCCTCGATTCCTGCCGCCACATCGAGCAGCCGGTGGCAACCCTCAGGGATGAAGGCCTCGGCGTAAAGCGACAGCCCCGTCTGGAGCGACCAGAGGCCCTGAAGGGAAACGGATGCCGCGAGGGCGAGCTCGGCGACGAATAACCTCGGGAAGACAGCGAGGGAGAGGCAGAGAGCGGAGGAGGCAGCCGCGACCGTCGAGGCGACTGCATCGCATTTGGCCGGGAGGTCGTCGGGGTGATCGTAGGACGCAGCTGAGTTGGCGGATGAGGCAGAGTGGAATCCGAAGGCGAGGGCGGCGAGGAGGAAGGAGAGGTCCGGTGGGAGGTGGAGGAAATGTGGACGGGAGTGGGCGACGAGGAGAGAGGCTGCAATGAGGAGGAACAGGAGGATGATGACGGTGGACTGGAGGGCGGCGAGGCGGTGGACGGGGGTCCGGCCCCGGAGGAGAGGATCGGGGGCTGCAGACGAAGCGATTAGAACCTGGTTGAGGGCCGCGAGGACGAGGGCAAGCAAAACGAGGTAGATGGGAAGATGGCGGAGAACGTGATGGCCGTGCGGCGGGAGCGGGAGGGGGTGGTATGGCCGGGCGGCATAGTCGCGGTGCTGTTGAGATTTGAGGTGAGCGCGGCTGGCGGATACGAGGTGGTACAGGCCGTACGAGAAGAGCGCTGCGAAGGAGAACACATGATAGAGCAACGCCGCCATGGGAGGAGCCGAGGAGGTTAGGCGATGGCGAAGGAGCGAGAGAGAGAGAGAGAGAGAGAAGGGGGGGAGGTAGGGGAAGATGTTGACCAGTTCACGGAACGAGGGGGAAGACTTTAGTTGGTCCAAAGATTGTTTAGGGTATTTAAGATTAAATAAAATAAAGACTACAGTTCTGATCTGGATTCCAACTGCCACGCATTGCGGCAGCCGATGAAGGAGGATGTTGAGATCCCTGACAACCGAAATGGGCTCAACAGGAAAGAGGTCCCGAAGAAGTCGGCCCAGACCAGGAACGAGGCAAGGCAAAAAAGAGTCAGACGCCGAAGGAGATAACCGCAGGGCCGCCGTCTAATCTGCAGGTGGGGAGGCGTGTGCGGCGGACGGAATTCGGCGGGGAACCAAGACAGTGGCAGGACCCAACACCGACGGAGCACAGCAAGTCTCAGGTCCCGTCGGATCCGACCGCTAGACGGGAGGCGGTCGCTGAGACGGGCGGACTTCGGCTATAAATACGGGTCGAGGGCCATGGAAAGAGGAGGTAGGAAGAACCTTGTGAAGAAAATCCATTTGGAGCTGGAGACTCGCCATCTCGTATCGGCGACCCCACGACCTGAGAGGTCGTGGTTATGTTTGTATTCTTTCCCTCAGTACCCTGTGGTCCTCGTCGAGGGCTCTCTCACTCTCCCTCTCTCACTCTCTCGCCCTCTCTCCTTTCGGTACCGGGTCTTCCGGCAATAGGTGTCCGGAGCTCTGGCGATTGGAAGTTTTTGTATTAGACAGGGTTTTATTTGAGTCAGTGAAGTCTTGTTGACGCCTAAGCCAAAGGGTCGTCATCAGAGGACTCCTCGCGAGCCGCCACCCGGGAGGAGGGATGCTCGATTGTCCGCGGCGGCGGAGGGTTTCGTCGCATGTGGTGAAGCCTCTGGGACTTCTGAGCCGCGATCCGGACGCTTCCTCGCAATTGTAAAATGGCGACTCAAGCACTCGAGTCTCCAGGGGAGAATGCCTCAGGGAAACGAGGCCATAAGTTCCTTGACTCTAGAGATTACTCGACCTCTCCGAAGAAATCTTCGAACAGACGAAACGAAAGCTCCGTCCTTCAATGGAAACAGAGGTAATCACACTAGCTGCCCGACCTGAGTTTCCATACTACAGCGGGGTTGAAGATCCTAGGATCGGCTTTCTAGTGTAAATGGATTTTCAAAGTATCAGCGACTGATAATGGATGCCGGTATCTGTGATTCATCTCGAGGGATTAACCTAACATGTATCGCTGGTTCCTAGGAGATCAGACGAAACTTCCCTGGCCAGATTTTTGTAATCGGTGCCAAAATTAGATTCTTATCCAATGAATATTTATCCTGTGAGATCTAGCAAAGTCAACACTGGCTGGAAGCTTTCTCTGATCATTTGGCGAAATTTCAAATCATCGAACGTCCTGAACTACTCTGGTCTGAAGAATATGAAATCTCATAGAAATGTTTTAGGATCAACTGGAAACCATGGAAAACTTGTAAAGAGTTATAGTCTATTAGGGTCGAAGAACTTAGGAGCACCCATTCAGGAGATATCGCTGCTGCGGAGTTGTTGGAGAAACGGAAGGCAAGAAAATTTTGAATCAGTTTAGAATTGCTCGGCCAATGCAACTTTTCAAGGAGCTTCATGGCTTGCGAATGTTCAGCTGGATGGGAGCTTTGGGTGGGTTTGCACTGGTCAGCCGGAAAAGGAGGCAAGGTAGGAAGGGGCGGAGATGGATCTGGAGGCGGAGAAGAACGGGTGAAAGGTAGGAGACGATGGGACCTGCTCGCTGGAGAAATGGTGATGAGTGGGAGGGAACTTCCCCGGAGGGTCTGATTCATCCGGGCACTGACACTGATGTTTTCATCAACTATATATTTTATATGCTCCTATTGTAAACATCTTTCAGAGTGGAAGGTTTCATGGCCACCGGCGGGCCTCATATCCATTGCTGTCAACATCATCGCTTCCTTTCCCGGATCGATGGAGAAGAAGAGTCCTTCTCCCACAGCGGCCCGTCCATCCAGGTGCAGGGAGGTTCTCTTGTAAGGTGATTCAGATCTCGTAGGTCATGCCGACCCTCAGGAGCCTCCCGTGGGGGACCGGCAGCAGCTCTATGCCTTGCCTGAAATTCCTCCGCAGGAAGTCGTAGAGGTGATCGACGAGAATCTTCTTGAACAAGGGGGAGTTCTTCGCCGCCACCACTTGTGCCTCCCCCAGCAGGTACACTACCACGTCCTCCATTGCCCTCTGTACGAACTGCTTCTCCTCCTCGATCCCCTGGATCGAAGCTGCGGCGAACCTGCCGGCGGAGCGGTCACTGTTGCCGCTCTGGATGGACCCCGAGGAAACGCGAGGCGGGACCACACGGCGGCTGGCAGCCTCCTCGAGGTCCACAGAGGGATGGACGAGTTTATGATCTACGCCCGCTTCGCGAGGGGGGCTCGGCGGTTTCGCGGCCTCAGGCATGGATGGCGAGAGTTCTTCGGCTCCTCCGGTGACGAAGAACTGGTGGTGGATGAACAGCTTCAGGTGCTCCACAAGCTGCGGCTCGAAGGTCCTGGAATCTCCGAGGACATCCTTGTAGCCGCAACGCACAATGCAGCGGAACATCCTGAACTCCCTCGGCCCGACCTGCCTGAACAGGAAGCGCTCCTCCAAGGATACGCGGCTGATGGGAAGGTGCTTTATGGACACGAAGACGAGGACCGAGTGGATCGAGGGCACGTTCTGGATGAAGTGGGGGAAGATGGGGGGGATCCCCTGCACCAGCTCGGAGTAGAGCAGCCCGATTCCTGGTATCCTCCTCACGTCTGGATTAAGGGCTACGTCGTTTAGGTAGCTGCTTGATACCTTGTTCTTGAGCTCGAAGAGATACTTCTCTCGGTGGACGTAGTGCCATATGGCCATGATGCTCATCAAGAAGAAGGCTAAGACCAGAGGAAGGAAACCTCCCTCTGTGAACTTGTACAGGGCTGAGGATATGTACACTGCTTCTATCCCTCCAAAGACCAGAAGGAAGAGCACAATCCGCCAGATGCTTGTCTTCCATATAACCAGCATTATGATTGAAACCATGAAGGTCGTGATCAACATCACAGTGATCACCGCAATTCCTGCACGAGGTAAAAGCCTATCAGGGTTTTGCGATTTCGGTCTTTACACCATGGAAATTACTCATAACATTTCTCAGAGGGCAGACTCCATCCATTCCTCTGAAAAAAGAAAAGGAAAACTGAAAAATATAGTGATTGGTTGTTCTCTATTTAAGGCCTCAGTCTCTATGATTTTTTTCCGCACAGCTGATGTTAATTTTACCCCTCTAAAAAACATGGGGGCTGTGTTTTCTCTGTCAAGTGGCATTTTTTTTGAGTCTTGCCCGTCTGTCATCTCTTGGCTCCTAGTATCAATGCGATGAAAAGTTCCTTGATCATGAGGATTCAAATGAGCACACTATGTTGACAGTTAGCTTACCATATGCATGGCCAATCTTCTCTGTTGTTTTGAAGGTAGCCGTCACTATGATGCAGGCGGCCATCAACATGTAGTTTACCTCTGGAATGTAAACCTGTCCTTCATACTTGGCAGAAGTGTGAACGACTTTAACTCTTGGGAAGCAGCCTAGAGCCAAAGACTGAGATATGATTGCAAATGCCCCAGATATCATTGCTTGGCTGGCAATGATGGCTGCAGCGACCGCAACCACAAAGGTTGGCCAGTAAAGGGCAGCTGCAGTCAATTGGGTATCTCTGCATTAGTCCTGTGAGAATTCACCTGTGTTCCCCTATAGTAAATGAAAAACTTTACCACTTACTTGGAATAGATTTATAGAAAGTATTTGAGACATTGTCGGGGAACTTGGTAAGATATGCTGCTTGCCCAATGTAAGCTAGAGTTACAGAAGGAAACAAAACTGCTGTGAAGCTAATCTGAAAGTGAAACAGAAAAATAAGCGAGCCATGTTAACAGAAAAATTTAGAACTATGAGCTCAAACTGAAACTCTTATCAATGCCTCATAATCTGATGAAGGATAAGGTAAAGAATCTTGCTTCTGCAATCCTCATGTATGAAAAGAATGGGTGCTCATTATCCCATGCCTTCCATGGCCTAATATTAATACGCCATACAGATGTCTGCATGAACGAGCCCTTGATATGTGCTTATGGAGAAGTTATGGTTAGAAATTGCATTTCACACCTGAACAGCTCTGAGGTTGAAATGGCCCAGATCAGCAAACATGGCCTCAGTACCTGTATCATAAGGTTTTCTCAACTATCAATTTGAAAGCAGGGTGTGGAGGACAATGAACAACAATGCTTTTTTAAATGAGGTACTCAAGAAATTCACCTGTAATGCACAATACCACACCTCCGAGGGAGATCCATCCTTTTCTTCCATTTCTCTTGAAGTAGTCTATAACATATTTTGGATTGAGTGCACGCAGAACCTTCACATCGTACTTGAATAAGTTGTAGAGTCCAATTCCGCCAATGAAAGTGAACCATGTTAAGATTATGGGGGCAAATGAGTATCCCACTTTGTTGGTTCCAAACCGTTGAACGGAAAAAAGCAGAATCAGGATTGCTATGGAGATTCCAATGACGGCACCTTCAGAAAAGAAGATTGATCAGTGTTCCAAGCGTGAAATTGTGAAGATGCATATGTCAGAGAGAGTTAGAGAGAGAGAGAGAGCTCTTTTTTGCAGGGAGACAGATCAATCTCTCGCTGTCCATTCAGATTTTTGTCAGTGTTTGATAGATTATGACCCATCCGATCTATTTTTATTCTACTCTGCAAGTTCAACTTGCTCCACCTTGTTCTATCACAGGTCTTCATGATTTACAGGGAAGTTCTTCATATCGTTGTGCAGTTCGATGGTATCTTCCAGACTCACTGCTTTTACAATTGACAAGAAATCTGACTAACTCTCTTACCTAATGTCGTTTTGCATTTGGTCATCTTTCCCGTGTCTTTTCACTTTGTTCAAATCATGAAGACTGTTGATATGATCAGCTCCATAAACTTCAAGATCGTCAGAAAATCAACATATTCATATTGATTGCTGATGATAAATTGGAGTCAATACACATATTCTTATTAAAAATTAGACACTGTTTACGAAAAAATTTCTCTCACCTGTCATCTTCCCCTCTTACCCAACTTCAGGGAACAAATCAACACGATACAGATCAACTAATATTTGTCATCTCGGTACTTGGTAACCGAGAATGGTATGGAAATCTTTTATATCTTGATTTAAATCCATGCATGCATGTAGGTATGTATATTTGTATACGCACCCTTTAAAACAAGTTTTTCTTCATCTGTCTCCTTGCCTATCAGCTTACTTCAGGGAAGAAATCAGCATGCTATTGAGAAGCTAATGATTTTCATGCAGATGGTTCAGTAACTGAAAATGGTATGGATATCTTTTATACCTTGATCGAGGGAACTCGATTCCTTGATCCCACTGACTGCAGAAAGCACTGCAAGGCAGATATTTCTACTGAGACTGTGCACATATATGCCGAATAAAAGGTGGTATCTTTTGGTACTGAAGCTCAAAAAAACAATGACAGAAAATCAAGAAAATAAATAAATTAAGTCAAGCATCAAATTTTTAATTTTCGTTGGTTACAGTAACCTATGCGTGTGGATTTCGGTCAGCTAGATTGGCTGGATATCATTCAAACAGATTGGAAGTGGACTTCTCAGTAATCAGCCAGGAATCCATTAGAAATCAGCTGATTCTGTGACCTAACCCTGACCCTAGATGTGTATGCAATATGGAAGGGAGAGAGAGAGAGAGTAGAATACATTTTTTGCTACGAATGGTTGTTACATACCAGAGATGCATGGTGTTAAGATGCCATCGCCAAGCACCATTGAAGTTGCGAGAATTGTTGTGACAAAGAGCGCAACCTTAGCTGCATTGCTAGTCTCCATCTTCTCTTTTATCCACTCTGCCCTCTTCATGTTTCTTGTCGGTGTTTCCAATTTGTAATTTGACACCATCATGTCCTCCACCTGCTGATTAGGAACCAGACCCACTCTGGAATAGCGACATATCAAGGAGTACAGGGCAAAGCTTCCACCTGCAAGAGTAAGAATCATGACACTTTTCTGCGGTAGATCCTTTCTCTGCATATTATTCAACACGTTCCTTCATTTTTTTCACATAATCTACAGAATTGATATTTTTGTTAGCATAATATATAAACCTCCTTGGAGAAAGATGTAAACCTTTCTCTGTACATGTACATGATTTGGCAAGATATACTATTTTTCTAGGATTTTTCATCTACCATGTCAACTGCCAACCGGATTCAACTTTGAAGCGACCAAAGTTAGTGGGGCCATGCTCGTAGGACTATCAAAGCTTTATGGGTGGATTTTTATGTTTCATACAGAACCGACTTTGGCTGCTTTGACTCACCATCACCATGGTCGTTGGCCTGCAGTACGATGAAGACATACTTCAACATCGGTATAAAGATCAGTGTGTAGATGATCAGGGACAGGACTCCCAAGATATCATCTTCCTCGCCAATCCCTTGACTGAAGGTGCTTGCATAGACATACAGCGGGGACGTCCCGATGTCACCATATATCACTCCGATGGCCTGGAATGCCAGGTGAAGCGTCCTTGCCCACTCATCCTGCACGAAGCAAAACAGCCCATAAATTCATCATTCAACACCTGTGGAAACAGTGGAGAAATCGTCCCATGCTCGAATTTCTTTCAATGCTCGTTAGAGTCAAACTTCTATTTTTATGCCAATCATGTCTGATATAGTATTCTCACAGAAGCAAATATCTCCTTGCATGCCGGGAAATTAAAAAATTTAGACAAAATTCGGACCTTGGCAGCATGGTTCTGGCCGGATGGAACTCTGCCCGCCTCCAGATTGAGGGAATCAACACGACAGAGCCTGCCCCCAGGGTCAGATTCTGAATCACTTTTCTCCATTTCATCAGCTTGCCGCATCCTCGAGGCCTGTATCTTCTGCTCTGCTGCCGTTGGGGGCTCTTCCAGATTTCAATTTATAGGCGGCCTGGTGCGCCCATGGCCCACACTCCTATTGAACGTATAGAGTAAATGGTAGGAGGCATTTTTTTCCCTTCAAGGAACCCACCAAGAAAAACCACGGGAACCCAGTCTCTTTCACAGTAAAAGCTCCCCGAGTAAACACCTCCCGAGCTCCTGTGATAAGTCTCTGACGAATATGCTGATTCCACGTGAGTTTTGTAAGTTAGCACTCATTGTTAGTTTTTTAGAGGATGATACTATCCTTTTTCTTTGGAGTAGTGAGCTAACACCCTCTTGATAGCTCATGGAGTGGACCAGTAGCTAGAGAGAGAGAGGAACAGGTCTGCGATCACTAATCACGAAGGGCGATTAGTGACGTACCAAGGGAATCCCTTGCAATAGGGTGAGCCTCTGCTAGTTCGCTTATTAGAATCCAAAGTGGGGCATTTTTACCAACCATATAAAGAAAGACTACTGATTTACGAAAGCGGCCTTAATGTTTCTCTGGTTCTTCCTGACGTCCTCCCCGGAGACCTTTCGATATGTACTTCTCACTATCGTTTACTTAACTTGATCTCCATTATTGGACCTCTACAATCTTCTGATTCGTCGATAAAATCGCAATTATTGGGCTACTTTTATATTTATTCCGCCGTGTCAGCTCCGCGTTGATGTGATCGTCGGCTGCCCGCGGGATTGCCGCTGGAGGAGCTCACGGGAACTCCGCCGAGAGAGGAGGGGGGGAGGGGGGGGGGGGGGGGGCATTGACTTCCTCTTCATCGGCTATCGCAACATTATTAGGGTATTTTATCGTGAACCCACGCCGGAGTCGTTGATTTCGACCGCAACTGGATGCCACCTCCCCCGCTCGAGCTCTTCTGCAGCGGTGGCTTCTTCCGGCGGAGCTGCTTCCTGCCGCAGGTGGGCTGGCGGTCTCTTCAGCTCGTGCCTTGCAAAGCCCTCCGATCCTTGGGATGTATGTTTCTACACTCATTTACCTGCAGATTTCTCGATTTTTCAGAAAATAGAACACATATGTTTATAACGTTCAAACTTTATAAATCGCGCTTAAATATTAAATATTTCATGAGAATATTACAAATGTCCACGCTGATGCACGGCGAACGAATCGTGAGTTATTTAATCAATTTATTTTTAAAATTATATTTTAACTATACTTCAGTGAGGCCAAGGGACTATAAAATAATATTCTGATAGTTCTCAACTTACGAGTTAATGGGGAGAAAAACAATTACCTCAATTAAGTGATTATTTTATTAGAATTTTTTAAAAATCGTATATTGTTTGTAATAAAAAGATTTAAAACGGAAGTTTATGGAACGTTGTGTGCCTCCCTCAGCAATTTCCACCGCAATCCAGCCATCCGCTGCACAAACGGCCGCCGTCTGCGTGACTTCGCAATGAAGTGAACTGATCAGCCCTTTTGAAAGCACAAGTAGATTCTATTAACTTATTGAGCTAAAAGAGAGTCGACAAGTATGAGGAACTATCGAACCCTTAACGAAGAAATACTACTACAAGAACACCTTCCATCTTTGGTCATTCACCCATCGACCTACGTTTGCAACACCGTTCTTCTTCGACGCCAGACAAGTCAACACTTCTAGCGATCTAACTGATGTTGTCTCTGCCAAGGAACTTGCGGTTTACTCTGCGCGATCTTTGACGAAACGACGATCTTTCCACAATGATAGGGAATTTCCTTCCTTTCTCCATTTAGATTTGTGAATTTAATAAATATGTTCTCTTGCTCTTTGTTGCTTGAGAGACCATAGGATAACTAGTTCTTGATATTCGGCAGATCTTAAACCGTGATAAGAATATTTTCTGACGTGATAAATCTAGGTGTCCTATCAGCAGGTTTCTTAAATTATAGATCCTTTCGTTTATTCAATTGCGGGTGTTTCTAGATAATTTTAAAGTCCACTCACATTCACTTTAATTCTTGAGTGAATCTGCTTGATTTTATAATCTTCACATTCTTTTAAAATTCTTCCGCATCAATTTTGGTATCAGAGTCAGATTAGGATACCCATTAGGTCTCATAATCATGATTTAGATCTTCCAACTGCACACCACCACGAGTCAATTTCATGCCGACCCGTTCTGGTACGTCCTACACCATAGAAGAAAATCATCATATACCTCAAATGGAGGAGGAAATTCCACAATTGACAAAATTACTTATGGAACAAATGAATATGATGAACCAAAGATTAGGAAGATTAGAAACTCAAGAAAATCTCAGATTTCCTCCACTGCAGCAAGACAATCTTAGGCGGCATAGAAACCCCGAGGAAATCGTAGATGCTGACCCATCACATAGGAATGTCTGGATAGATGTACCTATGTTTGAGGGGGGAAAAGACCCAAAAAATTATTTAGATTAGGAGGCCACGATAGACATCTATTTTGGATGGTCTAATATGTCTGAAGTTAGGAAAATACGATTTACTGATCTTAAATTATCAAGTTCTGCAAAAACATATTGGAGAAATATTATTCGATTATTAGAACTAAGGAGACAAACTGATTGGAACTTGAGAAGAGATGAAAGCTAAATTATGGGAGAAATACTTACCTCTAAATTATACTACAAAAATATTAGATCAATGGAACAGAATTTCCCAAGGTAAATAGACCAGCCACAGAATATGTAACTCAATTTGAGGAGTTAATGCTCATATGTGGGATAAGTGAAGACTCTAAGGTTACTTTATCTCATTTTCGAACCGGTCTTTGAGAAGATTTTCGAAGAGAACTTAGTCTGTGAAATATTCTATAAACCCATACCTCATTTTAATGTGCAGATACCATTATTACAACCTCCAACCCCCACCTCACCCAAGGTAGAAAGAACTAAGCAAACCACAAATCATAGCTCCTTATACAAAGAAACTTGAGATCATGGGGGTAGAGAAATGAAAAAAGATTATGGATGCATCAACAAGTATGAAAATTACATGTTTTAAGTGTAGAAGTCTAGGCCATTTCGCAGCTCAATGTCCAACGCATAGCTTGCTGATAGGTGAGTCAGAAAATTCTGAAGAAATTTTAGAAAACAAGAACCTTATAGAAGAAGAAGAATATGAAGCTGATCCCACATTAGTCCTTGATTACACCAAAGATGCAAGATTAGGAGTTGTGAGATGCATATTAACCCAACCAAAATTCAAAGAAAATCCTCTTCGCACCTCTATCTTCTACACTTATGTCGAGATAGGTTCCCATACATGCAAGCTTATCACTGACAATGGGAGTACCATTAATGACAATTCTCAGGAAACTGTTAACAAGCTTAGATTGAAGTCTACTACCGATCTCAATCCTTACAAGGTCTCATGGATTAATTCTACTAATAATCCTATCCAATCATAGTATTTAGTTAATCTAAAAATGAACTCATATGAGGATAATATACTCTGTGATATATTACCATAGATGTAGGAAGCCTGATATTAGGACAACCATGGTTATATGATTTAGATGTGCAACAACAAGGAAGATCAAACATCTATTCTTTTGTCCATAAAGGAAAAAGAATAGTCTGGCGTCCTTTTCAACCCAAGACAAATGTGAGAGATGACACTAATCCAAATCCTAACATTAGTCTAATTAGTGCTCGATCCGACCAAAAAGAATTAGAAACTAGATCATTAGTGTGGATAACACATTTACGAAATATAGAACAAAAAAAATATAGATGTACTTCCAAGAAAAGTTGAGATACTTCTAGAAGAATACCAAGACATTTTTTCAACATATCTTCTTGACCAATTACCTCTGATGAGAAGCATCTAGCATGCCATTGATTTAATTCCAAGATCCATTTTACCAAACCTCCCATATTACCGACTCAGTCCTAAAGAACATGATGAATTACAACATCAAATTACATAATTATTACTAAGAAAAAGATTTGTTCAAGAAAGCTTCAGCCCTTGTCCAGTCCCAATCCTATTAGTCCTAAAGAAAGATGAAACATGGAAGATGTGTATTGATAGTCGTGCCATTAATAAAATCACCATAAAATATTGATTCCCCATCCTCAACTAGATGATTTATTAAACATGCTAGATGGAGCTTCTATATTTTCAAAAATAGATTTAAAAAGCGGTTACCATCAAGTAAGAATTAGACCTAATGATGAGTGGAAAACAGCTTTCAAAACAAAAGACAGATTATATGAGTGGCTAGGCTGGTAATACCACCATTCGGATTATCTAATGCACTAAGCACTCTCATGCGATTAATGACTCATGTGTTGGGATCTTTTTTAGGAAAATTCGTCGTTATTTATTTTGATGATATTCTAATTTACAACAAAACCATCAATGAACACTTTACACATTTATGTATGATCTATGATACCTTGAAGAAGGAATCATTGATTGCCATTCCACATAATTGCATTTCTTCACTAAACAAGTTAATTCTTTAGAATTTGCAATAACATCTCTAGGAGTCACCGCAGATCCTCAAAAGATTAAAGCTATTGTGGAATGGCCTGAACCTAAGAATATACATGATCTTAGAAGTTTTCATGGCTTGGCCTCTTTTTATAGATGATTTATAAAAAAAATCAGCATGATCATGGCCCCGATCACAAATGGGATGAAAGCAAGACAATTCAATTGGATGGAAGAAGCATCTAGAGCTTTTGATTATTTAAAACAGAAAATGACTACAGCTCCTATTCTTAGGTTACCTAGTTTTTCTAAACCTTTTGAAATGGCATGTGATCCGTCCGGAATAAGAATAAGAGGGGTGCTTAGTCAAGAGGGACATCTTGTGGCATATTTTGGTGAAAAACTTAATGAAGTTAAGAAAAAATATTCAACTTATGATAAAGAATTATATGCGGTAGTTCAAGCTCTTAGATATTGGCATCGTTAACTCTTACCCCAAGAATTTATTCTCTTTTCAGACCGTGAAGC